TGTCTGTCTGTCTGTCTGTCTGTCTGTCTGTCTGTCTGTCTGTCTGTATGTATGTATGTATGTATGTATGTATGTATGTATGTATGTATGTATGTAATGTCCCCCTAAATTTTACTTTATATTTTTAAAACAGTCATATTCATTCTATATTATAAGTACAGTTATAAGCTACTTGTACTTTTTTCCTTGTTTACAGTTTAAAATGAAGATTTGAAAGATTAAATGTCATTTTGCAACTTTTACTTTTTTTCCCATCTGGAGTTTCCCTAAATGTTTTGAAAACCCCTGTTTTGTTTTTTTCCAAATTCCAGAGTGATTTAAATTTGCTCAAATGGCAAGATGGCGGACTCTCACTGCAACGCACGAACAAGGTAAGGAGCCGGAGGGGGGGGCTACCGGGCAACCGCGCTACCGGGCAACCGGGCTACCGGGCTACCGGGGCCGGAGGGGGGGCTACCGGGCTACTGCGTCCTAGGGCTCCCGCGATACCGGGGTTCGGTGCGGGTCTACTCTGACAGTGATATCGAACCGGGGTCGGGGGTCCGGGTCTCCCCTCTGGGGAGCCCCGGCCCCCCTCCCCCGGTGGCCGTTTTCCCCGATATTCCCCGGTTTTCCCGGTATTCCCGGTTTTCCGTTTTTCGTCTTTTACCGCGGTATCGCGGTAGCCCGCCCACTTCCTTGTTTTTGTCACATGACTAAAAACAAGTCACATGACTAAAAACAAACCAATGAGAATCTAAACTAAAGCAGATTCAACCAAATATCTTAAAGATTTAGGGGGGAGGGCGGGCGGCGGCACGGAGCTACCGGGCTACCGGGACACCGGGCTACCGGTGCCGGGGTCCGGTAGGGGGCTACCGGTAGGGCATGCCGAGTGCCAACGTACGTAATAATCTGAGAAAAATGTTTCTTTCCCAAGGTTTTCAACTTGCACAGCCACAGAGACTGCAATTATATAGCTGTGTATATATATTTATGGGACGTGCGGTCATCCTCACAAGACAAAACATACGATGACATATTATTATTTGTCCGCCGATCTTTATGTATGACTAATTGCGATCATTTTAATTGTCAAAATCGCTGAAATTGCACATTTCCTGTTGAAATACGGGGTGAAACGTGATGTGCGGCAGCAAGGAGCCGAGCTGAACCTCTGATTGCGCAATCAATCCCAAACTGGGCTGTTGGTGTCTGTCGGCGTATCGCTGAAATACGTTTCTATAGTCTGATTGAATCCAGGTTTAAAAAATGGACGACAAATATCACTTATCTTGTAATTAGATCCAAGATTAAAGTTATTTAACATGACATTATCTCAAATATTTAGTAAGACGTTAGTAAAAATGTTTAATGAGTATTCAACGTTGTGTGTCTTAGTCTTCTCCTTCTTCTTCTCTTTTTTTTTTATGGCGGTTGGCAAACAACTTTTCGGTGCATTACCGCCACCTTCCAGATTGGAGTATGGATCCAACAATCTTTTAAATCCTCCCTAATACACCCGTTCTTCTTAAAAAACTGAAAATATTTGCAAAAACCACATCCCCAGATGACCTTTGAAACAAATCCCCAATCTCCATGTGTCTTAGTCGTTTCAATCAGCAACTTTTGATAGTATACGCAGCAAGAAAATAACTTCCGAGTTCAAGGGAATGCATCACAACTTCCGTATAATCAGGAAGCGGAAGTTGTTCTGTAGCGGGAGCATAGTTTCGAACACAACTATCGTTGGAGTTGACGAATTACAGCTTTGTGAGTGACTTGTATATACATACATGGTATATGTTACATATTAGAAAAAAAATTGTATTCAATGGAAATTTTAAATATTATAGCACTGAATAGTATTGTTGTATAATCACCAGTCATTCAGCTATTAAGGTTTTGTCTCGCTAACTAACAACAAACAATTGCATATGTTTTTGTGAATTTTTCTTAAACTCTCTCCGAATAACCAAACGACATTACATCTAAAGTCAAATATATTTGTTAATACACTTAATGTTTGATGTGTTGTTTAATCAAAACCCCCTTTGCCGCACACAGGAAACTTCCATATTGATGTTTTTAAAATTTGTAGTTATTTGGTTGAGGGCTGACATTCAGGGCTTCTGTTAAAACGAGGGGCTCCATCACACGTTGTTTAGGAATAACACAAAGGAACACAACTGTTGATACCATGAAACACTCAAAAGATCACTGGAAGAGATGCAATGTAAAATAACAAATAGATACAAATATAAATACATTATTCTTAGAGCTTGAGTATAGGCAACAAAATGTCCTCTCTGAAAGACAAATCGCCTTAAAAGTCCAAGAAGAAGTCCAGACCAAATTGCTGTTAAGTTAAATTATATTTTTTTAAGTAGTGCAAAAACTAATCCAATGAAGATTGGTTTAGAGCGAACCTTTTTTCTTGGTCGATTTATTTTACTTTATTTTCTAACAATTCCAAGTACCATAAAATGTGTTTCTCGTTTATTTCTGCGTCCCAGGACTACAATGCCTCTGTCCACGCAGTCTCAGGGTGACGATGACCAGTACATTTTAGTTGCCAGTATGGATAATGGTCGCAATCTCTCCAACATACTGAAAGCCATCACTTTCAAGGACCATGCCGTCTTCACAGCCACCCCCAATGGTCTGAAAGTTACTGTGGAGGACTGTAAATGTTTGCAAGCCAATGCATTCATCCAGGTCTGTTCATCTGGTGCCTTTTTCGTGCTTTTGTCATCCACTGTAAATGAGACGTCTTACTGACTAACCTTTATTCTGAATTATTCCAGGCAGAGATCTTCCAAGAGTTCACCATAAGGGAAGATTTGGTTGCTTTTCAGATTAACCTCGCTGTTCTGCTGGACTGTCTCAATATCTTTGGAGGAAGCCCCGTGGCAGGTAAACATTTAGTAAATGAGACTGTGAAACTGGGGAAAAGGGAAGCCTTATGTACGATTGAGCATGTTTATTAAATCACTCATATGACATTGCAGGAGTATCGACAGCCTTGCGGATGTGCTACAGAGGATATGGTTACCCTCTGACCCTGTTCCTTGAGGAGGGTGGTGTTGTGACTGTCTGCAAGATTAACACAGAGGAACCGGAAGAGTTAATTGACTTTGAGTTCTGCAGCACTAACGTCACCAACAAGGTGCCCTCCACTGGATCATCTATTGAAAATGGACAACTAAATATACATAAACAACTACATATACACCAGTCTGAATAGGTGCTATAAATAAAGAAAATAGAACTTGCCTATGAGTTGCCATTGCTCCTGAATCCTTTAGGAGTATATATATGTGCAAGTATTGTTGTTTGATGCTATTTAACTCTGGCTCTTTTGAAAGGTGATTCTGCAGTCTGAGAGTCTGAAGGAAGCCTTTTCTGAACTGGACATGACCAGCGAGGTGCTACAGATCACCATGACCCCCAGCCAGCCGTATTTCAGGTGGGCTGATAAAGACACACTGTTAGGCTGTCGAGATGAAAAAATATTAAATAAATACTTTTAGGTCTTATCCATGTTCATTACTGTCACTTTTATCACTTAAGTTATTTTGGCAGATATAGTTTTAGATCAAATTGGGTAATTGTAACTGAGTCTAGGCGTACATATTTTTACCATCTTTCTCTTGTACATTTGTTTTAATACAAAAATGACTTTTTTTCAATTAACCAATCATAGATTGTCACCATTTTTTAAATTGTCGAACTCAGATTGTCTACATTTGGGAACTCCGGAAATGCCCATTATGATTATTCCAAAGACTCGGACATGATGGAGCTCTTCCGGTGCACCAAGACACAAACCAACAGGTGAGCGCTGCCATCTGAAGACTATTAAGTTATTCCTTTAGCTTTTCAGGTTTATACATCGATTGGTCTTCTTTCCATCAACTTTGACAGGTACAAGATGTCCCTGCTCAAACCCTCCACCAAGGCCTTGGCTTTGTCCAGTAAAGTCTCCGTGAGGACAGACAACAGGGGCTTCCTGTCCCTGCAGTACCTGGTCAGGAACGACGACGGACAGATCTGCTTCGTGGAATATTACTGCTGTCCCGACGAAGAGGTGGAAGAGGAATGACGGAACGATCCGTTTGCCTATATCTATGCACCATAACGGCACCCAGTGGTGTTTCATGCAGAAGTAATGAAAAGCTAAAATCTTCCGCAAATTAGCAGTGAGGTCAGATGAGTACCCAACTGTTTATTGATCTCAAAAAGAAAGCCGGCGCCTGTTTTACCAGCGAGGAAAGATTGAGTCGCTATATCAAAAAGAGCGGGTTCATCCCTCTGCAGCTGTACTTGCGTCACCCATCTGATCTTTGACCGTTCAAGCCCTGAGTTCTGTGGCTTTGCAGTTACTGTGTTATCGGTCAGCATCAGTGAATGTGAGCAGAAAAGTGTATGGTAGTTTTTAATGTTTTGTGCTGTATTTAAGAACCTGCACTTCATTTCCAATAGAAGGATGCTTGTGGATTAATTACACTTAAGCAGAGTTTTTCAAGAGAATATGTATTTTTATTAAAAAGAATGACAAACACTTTTTGAAGACTGTAAAATAAAAGACACTTCTACCCAGTCAACATCTGCACATTCCTCATAATGAAGGAAATAAACATTTTCAGTCCCCAAACAGTGGCACTGGACAATACTTGGGAAATTTAAAGTGATAGGTATGTGATACGTCACAAAAAGCCAATCAAAAAACACTGCATCCAAGCGTTTCCATTAGGAAACAGCTGAATGGTGTCAGCAGTGAGTCGACTTAAGTCATCCAGTTATCTCCGTGCCCTCTGCATCCTTTGTCTTTTGAAAGCTTTGTGCTTGTTCTTCTTCACCGGTTTTGGCTCGGGCGCCTCCGTCTGGATGTGAACCGGCTTCTCCTCAGCCGGAGTGACGAAAACGTCAGCTGTGACGTCTTTGTTTAAGTTCTCCTTTGCCTCCGTCCGCTTCACTTTCTGTAACTCCTTCACCATCTGCTTCTCGCGCACTTTGGCTGCGGCTGCCAGACGCAGCTCCCGCCTATGCTGTAGGCGTATGGAGAAAAAGAAGGCCCCTCATTTAGGAAGGACTGAAAAGACTGTTGTGCACAGTAAAATAAAGAAGGACTGCAGGATTTTTTACCAAGTTCGGAGACTTGAAGTGTGGGTTTTCGTAGAGCGTGGGCCCTCCAAAACTTCCTTGGAAGATCTTCATGAGGTTGAGAACAAATCGAGGCCCAATCTCCACCAGTGCGGCGTCCTCTTCAATGATCTGAACATGGCAAAATGGAGAGAAATAATACAGAAATAATGAAAAGATATGCTCTCTGAGTACATTTTCTTCTTTAAATATCAACTAAAAGATATTTATTCCCAAAACTGTTACCTGGTAGTTTCTGAACCATATCCGGTCGTCTGCGATGGAGAAGGTGAAGACATGGTCCACAAAGGGCTGACTTTTTGGATGGTAGTGTGGAGTGGAAAATGTCTACAAAAAGAGAAAAATATTAGTCGTCACAGCAGGGAAATCCACATGGTTTTACATTACAGCAGGTAAATACAGAGGGAAAGCCATAAGGGCACAAAATAATAGAGATGAATAATAGAGATTTTTAAGCTATTACTGAAATAACATTAGCAATCTTCTATAATGTACATGCCATTTGAAGCTGCTTAAGGTGGAATTATACCTGGATGAAGAGCTCTTTCAGTAAAGCGTACTGTGGCTCCTTGTCAAATTTCTGTGTGAGGAAACACAGAGATGATTTGTGAACCGTCACCACAAATGGCTGCGTGTCACTTTCAAATAACACGAGGCACCGCAACAATCAGTTTCCCAACATGAAAGCTTTGAATCACTTACAGGATCAAATGAGAGCAGCGGTCGGGATCCCTTCAGGCAGTTTCCAGTCATTTTAAGTTCAGCCAGAGTATGAACTGTTGGACAAAACAACAGAATAAACAATCTCAGCATGGCACAACGCATATAACCTTCCATTTGCATGGTATACAGGGTATAAAAGAGAGGAAACTTACTATTCTGAACTAAAAACTTGGCAGAAGGTCCATGAGGGCAGTTTGATATCCTGCAGAGTGGAATTTAATTAATAATTTTTGCCTTGGAAGAGTAAATATCTAATCTTAAGATGTAGAAAATCAAACACGAACCACATGTAGAGGTCTTGCTTCTTTTTGGCTTCAAAGAAGATGCATTTGTTGCAGTTTTTTATTTCGCACACCTACAAAAAAGAAAAAAAAATACATCAGCCCTTAAGTGAAACGTAAAGTGATTATTTAAGGGAGAGTCTAAAAATGACACTGCACTCACCTCATTAACCACAAACAACTTGTCCTTTCTGTCCATTTTCGTATCTAAACATAAAGCATGGTTTTTATATTCAGTCTCGTCACTGGTCTTTACAGATTGTGGTAGAGAAGGGACCACCATGTGAATGCACACCTGCTTTAGAATGAGGCATCATGGTCCTCAGATCCTGCATCAAGTGTCTTGTTCTGAAGTTGATTCCTCTTGAGGAAAAGATGAGAACCCTTTCCTTGTTGGTCCATTTACCCTGTTCAAGAAAAAATACATAACATCAAACCAAACCATAACACACTCACTGCTGTTCAGTATTCAAATATGCTCTCATTATCTCAGTCTAGTCAATTTAAACGTATTGGGCATAATTTAAATAAAAAAGGAAAGACAACATTGGATAGGACTAAAGGCTATTCGGTGGTGGAATGTGACTTTTTGCTATGGCTTCATGTCAAGAATTAATTACACAATGCATCACGTCTGTAGCAAGAACATCATTTATTTTTGTTAAAGAAGTACATAAATACTGAATAATTCCCTGATTGTATTTGTGAGCTGTCGCTTGCTAATTGGATCTCAAACATCCGTACTTACCAACGAAACCGGTGCTGGGACTGTAACTTCATTATTTGCCCCCTGTTCGAGCTCATCAGGTTTTTCTCCACCATCCACGACAAATTGAATCTTTTTGGCTTTTTTGTTAACTGGACCCTCTCCTCCACGTTTTCTCTTGAATGCCGCCATGTTTCTATGCGGATACAATTCTCGCGTTATTAGTAGATGTCAAACACAAATAAGCATAAAACAGTGGCCCCTAGAGGCGTGGAGGTGGTACTGCAAGACAATATTTCAAATGAATAAGAGCACATTTAATTAAGACATCAAGATATATAGAAGTATTCGAATTTCTACTCTGAACTCTTGGAAATCATTTGATGATTTAAACATATCATTCAAACATGATTTTGTTTTTAAACTGAAGAATGATTCCTCAATCAGAGCTGCAAAGAAATTAACTTTGTGTGTGAAACAAAGTGCAGGTCTCCAAGATACCACTAGATGACATTATAGGATAAACAACAGTAGAAGGTGACGTGATTGACATACCATGTCAGTGTCATTACAAAATAAAGTTTAATAGAAAACTGCGGGTAATAGGAGGATGTAGCCCTCATGCTAATCTTCTATTGTGATCACAGTGCAAAAACAAACATGCAAAGCAGACAAAGCAGGGCAGCTTTCACAACCAGTTGTAGATAAAGAGACAGATGAAGAAACATGTGGTAATCTCCCTGAGAAAATGAAGGGATTAAAAACATGGTGGCGCTGAACTCATGCAAGCTGCAGCTTTTCCATGTTTGGTTTGAATTGATGTTTTTTTATCTGAAATACTGGCTTTGTTAGTGACTTTTTCCAAATAAGTCTAAAAGTAAGGGAACAAATCATATAAGAATAAAGTAAATAATTATTGGGGCAAATCTAAGAGATTATAAAATGTCAACTGCAGAGGGCAACAGGGGCGGCCGTAGCTCAAAGTTTTCCAAAAATTTAGAGGAGAGAAGAAGAAATCTCGCGAGATTTAGGGGTGGCAGATTGTTCAGTACAACATTAATTCAGCGGTGTTCAGTATTACATTTCAGTGAAACTATATAAATGTATTAAGGCTATTCTTGATTGTTAAAGATCAATTGCATATTTTAGCATGCAACCCTTAAACAGTCAAACTACCTGTACCACCAGATAAGTTACAGTGTTTCTTATAAATAAAGCACGGGTGCTAGCGACCACAGATGCCGGTCGCTAGCATGCTTTAAATAGCTAAATACTAAGGCTAGCCTCACTAGAGACTGCATTTTTTAAACTGTTTTTCGTAGATTTTTTTTCTTCATAAAGGATGAAGTGTCACTATGAAGTGTTGTCAGTGAAAAGGGACGCGGGAGACGATGATCTGAAGAAAGCCTATAGGAAACTTGCCCTGAAGTGGCATCCAGGTAAGTTGAGGTTGTTGAAGCTAGTCGTCGTCCCCCCTGATATTGTGAAGATAGGCTGCACTACAAAATCTAAAAGTGAAGGTGTGTTGTGTCACCTTTTACTGTCGAACTCTCAGAAAATGTTCTTTTAACGACATCTGAGGAACCTGCCGTACCTATTTTTTGGTTGACATAATTTTTAGACAGTTATCTGGGTATAATTTAGGTTAAAAAAAACTCAACCACGTAGTGGTTTTGCTCTGTGATTTGGAGAGTTTTTGGACTTCTTTTTGCAAAAACTCTCTTTAAATGTGTTCAGTTTTGACAGGCTTTTTGTTCTTATTGAATTTCCAGATAAAAACTTGGATAATGCCGAAGAGGCGGCAGAGCACTTCAAGCTTATCCAGGCAGCTTATGAGGTGCTGAGTGATCCCCAGGAGAGAGCCTGGTGAGTTCAGGTTTCTTCCTATAATGTGAAGCATCAGCTGCATCTTGCTGGTTCCAGAGCGCTTTCTTAATTCTTCTGTCTCTCCCCGTGTCGCAGGTATGACAATCACAGAGAGGCTTTGCTGAAAGGAGGGCTGAGTGGAGACTATGAGGATGACAGCGTTGACCTGCTGCAGTACTTCACCGTCACCTGCTACTCTGGTTACGGAGACGATGACAAGGTTTGAAAGCTTAGCTCGTTGTTAACACGTTCCAGTTTGCAACTTTTCCTCAAGCCATATCGTCAATAAAGTTAATGTGATGTTGATTCAAACTGGAATATCGAACACAAAATATACACGTTTCAGTTTGGGGAAAAAAACAATATCTGTGACTGACCTGCTACCTTCCACACGCCAGCGGGGGGCAATGTCTGGTTGCACAGGCTGGGAGAAATCACTCCCCTCTTGATCTATGTTGTCATTCACTAACTTCCAGGCCTCTTTATAACAGCATAATGATCATTTTGTAAATAAATGAGCCATTTAGTTTCAAATTGACAATAAAAGGGATTCAACTAAAAATGTAAGCATTCTTCAATATGTCCAATTATAGCTCCACACATGTAAACAAGGTCAGTTAGGCTGCTTGCTATTGTTAGAGTGGTACCACGTCACTTGACCAGGAAAGTTAGCACAGAAATAGGATTTTAAAGCCTTGTATCCGTCATGGAAACCCAAAAACAGAGCCCTTTCCCTGACTTTCCCGTCACCTATCTTCATGACCCGCAGCCACAGTTTAGATCTCTGACTTTATGATTCTGTGAGAAAGGAAGTTCTTTGTGCTTCTCAGTACGCATTTTCTAATTTACTGTTCCATCTTTCCCTCCCCAGGGCTTCTACACAGTTTACAGGAATCTTTTTGAGTCTATTGTTAAGGAGGAGATGGAGCACGCAAGGATAGACGACGAGGAAGAGGAAGAGGAGTTTCCTCCCTTTGGTGACTCTCAGAGTGATTATGACACAGTAAGGAGCAGCTACACTTAAACTGCTTGAAGTTCTTCAGTAAAATCCAGTTTTTCACTGCTATAAGTGAACAGACGTTCCAAACTGATGTCTTGGCATCTTGGTGCTAACCGGTCTCTATTTCCACCTCGCAGGTAGTGCACGTGTTTTATGGCTACTGGCAGAGCTTCTGCACGCACAAAAACTTTGCATGGAAGGAGGAATATGACACGAGGCAGGCCTCCAACCGGTGGGAGAAAAGAGCCATGGAGAAGGAGAACAAGAAGACCAGAGACAAGGCTCGGAAGGAGCGCAATGACCTGGTGCGACAGCTGGTGGCGTTCGTCCGAAAACGCGACCGGCGCGTGCAGGCCCACAGGAAGCTGGTGGAGGAGCAGAACGCGGAGAAGATCAGGAAGGTGGAGGAGCTCAGACGGCAGCAGAAGCTCAAGCAGGCCAAGTGTGTGTTGAGAATGAAATGGGAGGCGAGGGCCTCGTTCGTTTTAGTGCTCATCATCTTTTGTTTGTTCATCCAAGACTGGCAGAGGAGTACAAGGAGCAGAGCTGGGCGGCCATGTCTGAACTTGAGAAAGAGCTGCAGCAGATCGAGGCTCAGTATGGGGAGGAGTTTGGAGACACATCTGAAAGCGAGGAAGAGGAGGTGGATATGGACACAAAGGAGAAGAACAGTGAAGAGGGAGGAGGTGAGTGAATCTCTCTGTTTACATTTTCCCCCCCAAACAAATAGTCAGTCACCAGATTTGACTGATTAATTGTTAACCAATAATTTCGTATTAACTGCTTTAAGCATGAAATATAAACACACCTCAGTAACAAACAACCAGTAATTTACCCCAAAGTCAGCAGGCCAGCAGCTTTTAGTTTTAATTCAAATTTGGCTGCAGGGAACCATTTAAAAAAACAAAAGCAGTTGGAAAAACAAAAGCAGACACTAATGAGGATGGGAACCAGCTCACACAGCAAGAGGAAAATGTGTGGGCAGTCCAGGTTTTCCAGGAAAAAACAATTAAGAATATGGTGCTGCCTACCAGTCTGCAAATATTTGTAGAGAATACAATGTGCAGAGCGGGCAAAGGGCAACCCATGAAAAGCTGCTGACAATTGCATTCCTAAACTTGGGTGTTTTCTTTCTATCATTACTTCTAGAAAACATAATAAAGTAGTAGTTGTTTTAAATGAAAGTCATTTGCAGACTAAAACAAAAAAAACATTGAACAGGTAAAATAATGTACCTTGCCTTTGTTTGTTGTCTGTTGCTTAAGCAAAACGATATTTGATTTTGGGGGCACCAATGTTTCCTCACAGATGCCGAGCAGCCTGATGGAGGCGTCCTGACAATTGATCATTACGATGATCTGTACTGTCCAGCATGTGACAAATCCTTCAAATCAGATAAAGCGTAAGTATCCAACAGACTTCTTCGCTCCTCTATTTTTTCTACTTTCTTATGTTAATGTATTTCTACTTCCGAAGCAGGGCGATCATTTGTGTGACTCATATATAATTTATGATTTAATATGTGTTTCTTCCTTCCACACATCTTGTTATCTCTCCTTTTGTTTAATTTTCAGTATGAAAAACCATGAAAAGTCCAAAAAGCATAGGGAGATGCTGTCGTTGCTAAGGCAACAGCTGGAGGAAGAAGATGCTTCCCTTGGTTTGAACCTGGGTGGAGAGGAGGCTGAAGAGAACGAGGAGGAAGAGGAGGAGGAGGAAAAGCCAAGGCAAAAGTAAAGTAAAGTCGTATAAGCTAAGTTCGCCTGGTTGCAGGTTGCTCTTATTGATATTCTGTTTTTTCCGCCTTTCCAGGCTGTCAAAAAAGCAAAAGAGGAAAAAGAAGCAACAGAAAGTTGCACAGGTGAGTCATTTTCTTTGTGTGGGCCTGGTCCACTGCCAGTGTGAAAAGGTTTTATATGGACAGCGTGGTCTGTTTGCACAGCAGAGCACTCCAGAGGAGGAGCATGAGGAGAAACCAGTGTTAGCCACTGAAGAGTCAGCTGACCCTCCAGGACCCGAGGAACCAGAGGATGCCGCGCCTGCCGAAGTCAAGTGGTCAGTCCAGTTTTTAGTTTTTTTCAGGTGTTACTGAAAGCTGAAACACAGCTCCATTTGGTTCTTACGATCTTCTTCTAAGTTGTTTGGGTGGATTCGTGATGAGAGAAATCCGGTCTAAGAACTTTGTTCTCTTTTTTTTATGCTGTTTGCTTTCCCCAGATCATATTTCTCTCTCAATGAGCATACAGTAATAACTGTGTCATGACAAAATCGTTTATGTGATCTTTGGTCCATGCTTTGTTTTTTTATATAAATTCTTTATAGCATGTTTCCTGAATGTTGTTTCAGCAGCCCTGGGAAGCCAAAGGGAAAGAAAGGAGGAGGAAAAGACAAACCAAAGAATATCAAACCCCAGACTGATGAACAGTTGGCCGAGGTTTGTTCAACAAAAACATATCCCATATTATACTGTACAGTCATGTGAAAGCAGTTTACAACGGACAGTATTTTTAACACGTGGTTAGCAGCTTTGACACAAGTATTTGGTGAAATGACTAAGTATCTTTCGTTTGCCCACTTCCAGAAACCAGTAAGTCTGCGTTGTGTTACGTGTGACAATGAGTTCCCCACAAGAAACAAGTTGTTTGACCACCTGAAGAGCAGCGGCCACGCCACAGCGGTCTCTGCAAATGCTGCTCACACCTCCATGAGCAAAAGCAAGAAAGACAAGAAGAAGAACAGATAACACATGCTCAGCTGGGCTGACGTTTTACGCCTAAAATGAATGCTCGGAGTCCCCCGGAAGACTTGAAATAGCAACGGACTGAGAATTATAGACCACTAGGTTTTTTCTTTCCTTAAATTGCATTAGACTTCAGTTAAGTGAGACTGTTGTGTGAGAGTCTGAGTCTTCCGAATTGGAAAGTGTGAAATATTTGAATACTTTTCTCTGTAAAGTATGAAGTCACTCATGAAAAATCAGAAAAAAGCTACACAGGATGTGTACAGAATACGTTTGCCTCCACTGTCAGATGTGTGCTTTTCCAGATCTGTGGAGGTATTCCTAATAAAGGTGATGCTACACTTTAGTATTTATACAACCTTCTACTCATTTGCATGACAGCTTTCTTATAACCGTCTTTTACCACTGTGAGCTGTTTGCTGCATGTTGAAAACACCCCCATGGATTCTTTCTATCATTTTAATGGTGAAATCTATAAAACATACAATTTTACAGTACATATAGAGTGGATATATACATTGTTTCCATCAGACATATCACAGATATCATTAATGCTTGTGTGCTGCATGAATGCAAAATGATCAGATGCATATATTTGATATAAACTGAGTTAGGAATACCCTGCGACCCCATTAGGGAATAAGCGGTTATGATAATGGATGGATGGAAGGATGGAGTTAGAAATAGAAAAGGTATAGTTTCCATAATTATAATGGTGTTTTTTCAGTTAGGAGCTGAGAGGCTGTGAAACTATGAAGGCTGGCTAAACCTGGCAGAGCACACAGGATTCATTAACAGTTATGTTTGTTTGACAGTGTCACTGATCAGTTCTCTCCAATTACTTGGCACCAAGCTCCATCTCTCTCTGACTCGCTTATTTTCCACCCATGTAGCTGCGGACGGCTCGATCAAAAACTGCCACGAAGAAATCTGCGTCTTCCCTGGTAATGCACAAGGGGGGCTGAACGCGGAAGGTCTAAAGCAGAGAGGAGTTTAAATGAGAGGGTGGAAGGTCTAATGGAGTTACAAAAAGTGTACAATGACATGATCAGATTGAGGATACAGCATGTTGACCATCACAATACAATGAATTCTTTGCCCACTAAACCTTGCGGAAAGGATTACTGATTTACTGGGATTAGTTGGAGATAGTAACAAAGCGATGACAATATAATATTACTACCATTGATAATAATGATGATATTAATACTAATGCTAATAATAATAGTAGTAATATATCACTGGGTGAAATAAACAGCATAAAACAGCAGAATAGGTATTTTACCTGTCCATACACTCCTCCTTTTCCAATAAGGACTCCCATGTCCTTGATGTTCTCAAAGATAGTACTCATTGCATCAGGAGACAGTGGCTCTTTGCTGGCCTATGGTGCATAGAGAAGAACTGAGACGATGCATAAAGCAGCACATGCTTCAGAAAGTACACAGTGTATATCGGATCGTCAAACACTCCCCATATACCATATTGTGGTATTAGTCTGTAAAGCACTCATGCAAGGACACAACGTTATATATCCACCTTCAATCTACTAACCACCTCCACCTCCGCATGATGTCTGAATTGAGATATTTCAAATGCCACTTGAACCCGTAAGCAGCAGCACAAGAAAGGAGCTATGCAACAAGCAAAAAACATCGGTATTCTACATTTTAATAACAGTTTTTTCTACTCCACTGGCTTGCACAATACAGTCATTTTCATGTAAGAATAGTCGATTTTCTAGATAAGATGTGAACATTTTGAACACTAGTGTTCACACACCGAGTTTACAATAGGACACATTCATCCCTACACATCAAGTAATGTAAAGGGTACGCTTCCATTAATAAACCCCCCTACTGTTTGTCCATTGCTCACAGGACTGGTGTTAATAGTGGTACCATTTGGCCACTTTTCCACTTCATTCATATAATTTCTTTACCTAGTTGTAATAACTAATTTACCATTATTTTTTGTTTGCTGTACAGCTATTTTTCCTAAATAATTTGGAAATTTTACAAAATCTGAGATTTGCTTGGAGGTATTTCAGGATTATTTGTAGAATACAATGAATATCAAACCATCTGTGGAAACTGCTGTGTTTGATGACTCATACTGCAGATAGTGCTGTTGGCTTGGCAACATGTCACAATTTCCTTAAAGATACTAACTTTATGTAAAATTGTGGGTAGCTGTTATCACAGGAAATGTTTAGATACAAACAGTAACAGTATTCGGCCAATTCATGGCTCCAAGGCAGAGGCAGTACAGCCTTTGAGGCCGTGTTGACTCTTGCAGATGACAAACAGAGCCTGCAAAAGTGCAACAGGAATTTCTCCTTGTAGTTTCCTTTATGCATGCTCTTGCTATTACCTTCACCTGGATGAATGAGTGTCTATGCCAGCACAAATAATCACTGCAGCTGTGGCTAATGTTTAACTGGGGCACCACAGCCCTGAAAGACACACACACACACACACACACACACACACAAATATACATGTGTAGGTACACGTGAGCAATTTTAGAAGTTAAATACCTTGTCTTTGACCATTTCCACACCAATCTGTAGGCCTTTTCCTCGAACGTCACCAATGATCTCATGCACATTTCTAAGTTTAGCTAGTTCTGTCATCAGATGTGTGCCCACATTCAGACTGTTCTGCTGCAAGCCATCTTCTTTTATAGTCTGTATGAAAAAAAAGAAATTTTCTAGTAATAGAATACTACAAAATTATAGTCCACAAATACAAGTATCCTCTAATTTCCATAAAGAACACCCTTTCAATCTTTAGTTTCAATAAATTACGTTAGAATACAAATCAAAAGCAGAAACCAACATGCATTTTTTTAATGTCTCTACAAAAGGAAAATCATAAATTCTAAATGAAGCCATTAGGCTTTTTCTCACTTTGTTTGTTAAGGACACACAGCAACCTGTGACCGGATTCTATTTAGATTGTGCTATCCTGTGAACAGTAGGGCTACAAAAAAACAAGATCAGTTCTTACATCCAGCACAGATGAAGCAACAGCACAGGCCAAAGGACTTCCTCCAAAGGTGTTAAAGTGGGAGGCTTTTGAAAAGGATGCAGCTATTTCTGTGGAGAAATGAATTAACAAGCTCACACTTCCCTTCCCTGCTGCTTCAAACTGAAACTCCAGCAAGGAAAAACTATTGCCAGCTCTGCATACATCTCAAATGAAACCTTGTTAATGCATAACTATGATCAAGAAGGTGGACAAGACTGTGAGGTCTAGTGAACATAATTGTAGAGCCAAAATCAGAACTGGAAACTGGCTGCTCAGTAATGCCTCTGATCAGTCTATGACTTACTTTAAAAAAAAAACATTGTATATGAATGATTTGTCAATTAATGTCTTACTTGATGACTATGTTGTAAATCCTTGCAATTATCTTTAATCACTTTATACTAGAGGTAATGAAAAAACATCATTAGAAACAACTGGGTTTCTACAAATTACTGCTTTTACATAAAAAACTTTCTTGCGTTGGTAATGGGTAATAGTTTGAAGGCTCCCCTTCATTGAAAGTTTCATTTTCTTTACCATTTTACTCTCACCTGGTGTCGTAACAACAGCTCCTACTGGGAATCCGTTACCGATGCCCTTTGCCATTGTAACCATGTCAGGAAGTACTTCATGTCCTTGGAATCCCCAAAAGTGGCTTCCCGTCCGGCCAAATCCGGTTTGAACCTGCCAGGTAAGAAATACTTTACAATTTCAAATTAACTTTCAAAATAACTTTGAACAACACCTTCTTAATTCATCAAAACTTGTGTCTCACCTCATCAGAAATGCAGATCCCCCCCCTTTCTCGAACAAGTTTGTAAGTGTCCTTCAGGTAGTTTTTGGGGTATTGCACAGCTCCCCCCATTCCCTGTAATATGAAAAAAAGCATGACGATGCAATAACATACATTGATATTTAAAAGCAATCTAAGATATGACATTACCTGAATAGGCTCCCCAAAGAAAGCAGCAATTTTGCTTGGAACACTTGTAGCAAGGGTCTCTTTGAGCTGTCCGATGTATTGCTCATTTGCCATGCAATGTCCTGTCAGATCAAGAAAAGTGCTTTCTTACAGTTATTATTCATTACTGGTGGCTCTAGTAATGAGTCTAGTAGTGGCATTCTGAATCGACTCGAGATGATGGGGAGCTATAGCACCGATGAGAATAATCAAGAGCATGCACAACTTTTCTGGGATGATCTGAAGCTAGAAAAACAACACAAAACAACATATTTGAGGTGTACATCATGGTAAAATGTTGAAAGGTTATTCAGTGATGGGAGAAGTAAGTTACAACAATCTAATCTATATAAAATAAAAACATCAGTTCCATGAACAAAATGGGCAGAGCATACCAAGTCACTGATCAACATGAGAATGGTTTGCAGTCAGCCGAATAGTTTGTTAATGATTTTGGACTGTGACATAATAGGCTTGGCGAAAAGAGAGCCAGTTCTAACAAGATTTGAGGTGGAAATGAGAAATCATACTGATGATCATGGTCTCCTTGTCATCCAGAAAATAAACAATGACACGTTCTTTGCAGCTGCGGCCTCTAATTGTTGAACATTACTCCTCACGCAGGCACATGTGTTAATGTATCGTACCTTGAGCACAGCTGCACCCACGAATAGTCTGCACAGGTGAGTCCCTGCAGTGGCTTCCTCCCCAAGGACCTCTGAACACATCAGGACACATGGTCTGTTTTTGGAGCACAAAACAAGTCAACTGGGTTAGACTTAAACCAAAATAAGTAAAACAAGACTACATAAAATCTTAGGAACTTTATCATTATATCTCTGAAATCTGTCATTTGTGCAAATACAGCTGTACTTGTTGCTTGTTTGCGTGAATGACAGAGTCGTGCTCATCAACTGAACCGTGCACACAAGTTTTCAAATGCACTGTTTTCTTTACAGAGCAGTTGTGTTTCAGCCATGGTGATCTTACATGTATAATGATGCACTTTCCAAGAACATATCTTCACATTGGCACAACACAACGCTGAGGACTGAATTTAATTCACACCAGAAAAATCATGGTACAACGCAGTTAACTTGCCCCTAGGCAGACATATTATGAGTACTGTTAGTGTATGTCTTCCTGTGATGTAACTGATTAACAGAAGATACCCAAACTACGTGGAGGTGATTCAGGGTTTGACCTACATCCAAAGAACATAAAAGCATCTTCAAAGTATACATACATGTGTGCATCCTGAACTTGTGGCAATAGGATATTTATAGGATGAGTTGGATGTAAGACCCATGGTCTGCTGACTTCCACCGTGATATGAGCCCCTGAGAGAGAGGGATAAAAGAGGCTTTGTGATTAAAGTTCATGGAGTTGATGTCAATCTATCAGGACCGCCATCCAGGAGAAATGAAAAAACGTTCAACGTAACATTCATGAAGATTTTCTACTAGCTATGCAACCTATGTCTGTCCCATGAGAAGATTAGTTCTTTTTCAGTGGAATTGGAATCAAAAAGAAAGGACAAACTACTATAAATCCAATTAAGATCAAAGCCTGACAGACCAGGAAACATCAATTAGTTTTCATCTTCTCCAGAATGAAAAGCAAGTTGCAAAAGCATCCTGCCATGAATCCTGCCATAAACCTTTATTTTTTAAGAAAAAAAAGTAAATGAGGCTAGAACACATACCTGAATGTGAGTATATCAAAGTTTCCCGTGTGGAGCCGAGCCATCAATATTGCCAGGTCATTGGCCTCCGAGCCACTGTTGGTTAGATAAATAACCTGGAAAAGGCAAATCATGATTTAGTTGTAGCACGGAGACTTTCCTGCTGTATTAGAATACATGTAACACGGTACCTTGAGAGGATCTGGCAAGTGGGAGGCGAGTTTTTCACAATACTCATGGAGGGATGGATGGACGTAGATGTTAGTGGTGTGCCACAGTGTTTTCATCTGCTGTTCTGCTGCTGCTCTAACATTCCTGTGCACACGATTGTTAAGATGGAAGCAACGTAAAATGGATACATTCAACTGAAAAGACTGAAAATGTATCCATTATGGAGAAACACCTATGAAAAAAAAGAACCTTACGGGTGGCAGTGGCCGACAGCAACTGTAGCCACGCCAGCAAACAAATCCAAATATCTTTTCCCATCCACATCCCACAGCCACTGCATGTATCCCTGGCGGATGAACACTGGTTTTTTGTAGTAAGTTATCTTCGTCGTCATGGGGTTGCAGTTCTCCTTGCGGATCTTCATCATTTGGTCTTTGGACATACCCTAGAGCAGAGGTTAATACGCCGGGAGACAGGATAAAACATCTGAAACTGTCCAAGCATCGAATAGCTGGATAAAACTTATGCAAATGGAACTTTGAATTGCTGAGTGCATTTTCATGTAAGTGTAATTTAAACGGCATTTTAATTTCTGTGGCTAAATTGGGCATATCAATTTTAATTTCTGCCATATTTATTCAAGCTCTGAAAAATGTGACCATAAAGTCATTAAGAGCACACACACACACACACACACACTCATTTTACCTTATATTCCTGTGGTTGGAACTGGCATGCAGGCATCTCTGGGATGTTTGATTGGTATTTGAAAGCCGATTTCTGACATACTGCACCTGTGACATTGTTTTGATCAAATTTAATAAAAAAGTGAGTAGAATAGTGATTCTATCAGTTTTAATTCATTTGAACAAGTCCAGTGTTATTATTCCTTTGATTTATTAAATCTACATTCGTAACCGCTTATTCCCTAATGTAGTCTCGGGGGGGACTGGAGCCTAACCCTGTAGTCAATGGGCGAGATGCAGGGTACACCCTGAATGGTCCACCAGTCCATCACTGTGCCAAATAAAAACATCTTATGTGAAATATTATGTTTCATCATGCTCTTAGGACATCATTTTAAATGACCTGGTCAATATGTAATCAGATTATAAGACAGTTGATGTTTTAACCTCATTAACTTCAGATTGTGCAACATTTGAATTTCAAACTTTTTGTCACAATTGAAAAACTATTTAGTTGCCTGCAACAAAAAAGTTTAATCCAAACACAGAAATCACTAGATTACGTGGATAGTGAAAGAGTATAATTATAAATTCCACAACCCCCAGATGAACCACATTTGTCACAAACAAGATTCCATGAAAAAACATAATTAGATTCAATTGAAATTTGGTGTCATGTTTTTTGTTTCAGTGTAACAATATCAAAACCGTCTTGATTTTTGTCAAAGCTATGTCATGTTTTTTGGAATATTAGCAATATTTCCAGAAAATGACGTCTGAAACATCCACAATATACATGAAAGATACAAAAAAAAAACTTTATTCTGAGATAATCGTAAACAAATTATATGGATCTTAACCTCCATGGTAACTCACCACTTTCCAGGTGAAAGCTGGCCGATCTGGGAGAAGAGCTGAACTGTCCTGTTAAAAGTGCGCAGCGGCCACTTAGGAAAGGCACCACTTTATACATATTAAGCAAGTACAGAGTGACCACAGTATCCCTTAGTTTACTCCCTTATCTGTCTCACACTCATCAGAAGCTTCAGGCTTTTTCTAAGATGATGGGTGGGCGTGCTGCAGCCAATAGCTCTCTGATTCCATCAAACCACCTTGATTTCCTTACAACGTCACACAGATGAATATGTAACCAGAGGCATCCGATCATTAAAGTACAGGTAGCTGATACTGGTTCTTGCCTGCTGGATGACCCAGAGGATGTTATGTCCACCTTGGAGTCAGTGGTAGATGGATGAATGCAGTCAGTCGAGCAAGTTGAAGCTCACATTTGTTCAGGCTTCATCAAATAGATCATTTTCATTATTAAACATAGGTAAAATATTTTGTCATAAGAAACAGGATGTTTTTTTACATTACTAACAGATGGAAAGAGAGAAGCTTTCTGACCTCAAATAAAAAACTCCTCAAACAATTTCCGTCATGTACATGGCACTTTTATCATTTCAGTAAAAATTGTTTTCCCTGTTGTCCTGTTGAGAATAATCGATTCCCGGGTGATTTGTCGGATCTTATTCAGAACTGAACTGAAAAAAAAACTGTTTGCCCAGATGACAGGATTTGTGTTGTATTACAAAATAGTCAAACTGGAAACCAGAGATTAATTAGACTTTATTTTAAAACACATATTCACAATGTTGTAATTACAGAAAAGTTAAGCATAATCATAATATAGCATAATTATCTCACGAAGGCTATATGAGGGCAATAACAGAGGTAGTATTCGTACTAACTAATACTGACATTTTCCATTTTAACAATGTACAATGAATGTGATCGTCTGCAGAACAAGTCTCCAGGGTTGGTCCTTGGCAATGAACCATCCATCTGACATTCATCTGGCTTTCATCTTTTTTCCATGAAGTTGTGGATTGATTTGTCAAAAACAGCCAAGAAGAACTCGGCATCTTTCATTGTGATGCACATAGGAGGTTTGATGCGGAAAGTCTAAAGTAGGAAAAGAATAAAAAGACAAGGAAGATTATGGAGCATCAGGAATACCCATCCCAAAAACATCTAACCAGTTAAAGTACTTTGTTCTGCCACACAATCAGATATGTTGATACAACCTCCCACCCCAAAAAACAAAAAAAGGTTTCCTGTTACCTGTCCATATACTCCTCCTTTGCCTATCAGGACTCCCATGTCTTTGATATCTTCAAAGATCTCAGCCATGGCCTCAGGGGGCAGTGGATCTCGGCTGGCCTGCAGAGGACAGAGCAAATTGGATGTTGCTGGATGTTGCAACTACTTCAACCGTCACATGGCTTAGCTACTGTCCAATGTCTCTCCATAAGCTGATTCCGGCTTGTTGCACTTAACCTGTAATAGCTAATTGGCTTGAAAGGCTATACATGTTGAAATTAGGCATAATTAGAGTCACACGGCTGATATTCCTCACGTGAACAAACATGGCCCTACAAGTGTAAATAAGACAAATAACTCCAGTTCCAGGGCTGGGATTATTTACATTGAATATGCTTCCATAAAATGTACCACCATTAACCCCTCTCCTTTTTTTAAAGTAATAAATCTGTCATTAATCAGAAAGTACAAAAGTCAGTCACTTTTACCAGAGTAGGTTAGTTTAGCAAGTCCAACACTCTTGCTATGCCCTGCTGGTTGTAATTTTAACACGCAACACTTGTTGGATCTCAGTGGGATATAACTTTTTGACTGATTTGTACATTTTATTTTAATATTGCCAATGTTGGAAGCCAACATTCACTCACAGTAGGGAAAATCTATCACTTTTACACACAGAAATTTAATTGGGATTGTTATGAACCTTCATAAACACAACCACTCAAAGTTTTACTTGAACAACACATTCCCTAAAAGTAAAAAAAATATTTAGATCTTTAGGTAGAGTACAAGCACCGTAGCCAAGCTTCCTTCTGTAACAAGCAACCACTGCACAGCTGAGAAATGCACACAGAAGGCAAAGTACAACTGTACAATATGCCATAAACTCGATACCTTGTCCTTGACCATCTCTACACCAATCTGCAGGCCTTTCCCACGAACATCGCCGATGATCTCATATTTGTCTCTGAATTTTGCCAGTTGGGTCATCAAATAGGTACCCACATCGAGACTATTCTTCTGTGTGCCGTCCTCTTGAATAACCTGTGCACAACAATGTTGTTCAGTTCAAATGTAACATGCTTCAGGGATTATAAAGAGGGAGCCTTTCACTTTAGCTTCTATGAGAATAATCAAATCTAATACATTCATTTATATTTGCTAATTTATAGGGACCAGTGCAGAGATGTATGAAAAAACACTCACATCAAGCACTGATGAAGCAATGGCACAAGCCACAGGATTTCCTCCAAATGTGTTAAAATGAACGCCCTTCGCAAAAGAGGCTGCAATCTCTAAATTGAAATAAAGAAACAAGGTCAGACAATGCACCCTGAAATGCTATCATCTGAAACAAATCCACCGTATGAAAAAGTTGCTTGTGTTGTATTCAATGTAAGTACGTGGTTTATAATTCCACGTTATTCTCAATCTGTTTCTGCTTGCAACTGATTAAAAATTGCTCTGTATAATGTTTTACTTCCTGAGAGCTGACAGGCAGGAAGAAAAGATAAAAGACACAAAGAATAGTTAAGACGTTGATAAATATGCAAGCAGCTTTTCACATGTCATATTGTCAGTATCATCTCACCTGGGGTTGTAACAATAGCTCCCATGGGGAATCCATTACCGATGCCCTTTGCCATTGTAACCATATCAGGAATGACATCATGCCCCTGGAAACCCCAAAAGTGGCTTCCTGTCCGCCCAAATCCTGTTTGGACCTGCAAAGTGCATTAAGTGGCAAAACATCAGTGTTTAGAAAGGCTAGAATGCCATTGTCTGAGGTATGACATGGCAGAGGAGACCAGCGTGGTCTTTGAATTTGTCAGAGGACTCAGCTGGAGATATATATAACATGCTTAGTATGGTCTCACTGAAACATGCAGTTTCAGTGAAATTTCAACGGTGACATTAACAGCACAGCCTTTTTTCCGATGGACTCTTTAGTAGTTCCAATGGTGTGCTGCATCCTCACACTCGCAGAGATGTTGTACTGTGGACTATAAGCAGGCCGTGAAAGAGCTTCAAGCTGCAATTATGGAAAATATAGCAACCTATTTTCACAATTTCTGGTGTTCCAGAGCCCGTGCAGTGATTTCCACGTCAGAATCAATTTCTCCAACAAATGCTGTTTAAAAGTGCATGCATGGAAAAAACAGACTGAAATGGGCTTTGTTGAACCAAGATGATGCCAGGAAGAACAACATGAACAACACGATGTGGATCATTTACGGACATAATCACGATCCCCTTAACTTATTAACATACAACTTAAACTCAATTTTAAAACTAAACATTTGCATTTGCAGCGTGGAGAGAAAATCCAAATTACACCAAGTTTGTTCACACAGAAAGAACACCGTACTTGAATCAGTAGATACATTCAGTAACAGCCTCCTTGATTGTTAAGGGAACTTTTGTAAAGTCATAAGATGTCAGAGAGTTGACAGAAAGCTGAAGGAGAGGGAGGTCAGGATGCATATAGCCTAAATAGAAATATCAGGTTTATTTGGTTTAAAAATAACAAGAAAAACTAAAATACTTAAAAATGTGCGTTTAACCTCATCAGCAATGCAGATCCCTCCTCTCTCTCGAACCAGTTTGTAAGCCTCCTTCAGGTAGTTTTTTGGGTACTGGACAGCTCCTCCAACTCCCTGTGTAAATCAGACAGATAAAAAAAGAAAATATCAATGTACTTATGTGCATTACTGCTCTCAAATCATCTATAATAATAAAAAACTGGTAAATCAGCACATGACTAACATTTACAATACGCAGAATTCATGAGATGAATTTAGCTACAATTATTATAGGAATATAGAACCTGGATAGGCTCTCCGAAGAAAGCAGCGATTCTGCTTGGAACACTCGTAGCAAATGTCTCTTTGAGCTGTCCGATGTATTGCTCATTTGCCATGCAGTGGCCTGCAGCATTAAGAAAGGGAAAGTCATGGCACAGAAAAAAATACCAGAATGTACTGAATAGTTAAGTGATCTATTTCTTTTTTATAAGCTAAGTTATTATTGGTTGCTATTTTTTATTGTATTTCTATATATGGGTTGTTTTTGTGCAAAACGTTGTAGCTATACTAACGCTGATTATGTGTGTGCAAATCATTACTGAGACACAGGCATGTTACCATTCAACTAACATCGCTGTAAGTAGTAAAAGTATAAAGAAGTCAATGATAAACTGTGGCAGCCTTTGAACTTTGCCTAGCTAATTCAGCCCTTTTTCTTATCTATTCACTAGCCATTCGATTCAACTTTACACTCTTATTCTTTCAGGTGTGTTTTGAAAAAAGATATATCATTACCTATATGTTACAGTTGTTACTCTACAGGACAGCGGTATAATGAACAAAAAGCAGAATTCGTTATCGCTAAAAACAAAACCAATTTTGGAGCTGTAATAAGAAGCTGTGCAAATATTCAAAACAGCACAAACTTTCACTCTGAAAAGTCTAACAGCCTTTTTATATGCAAAAAAAAAACCTTTGTGTTGTGTATGAACAGTGTGAGTTCACTGAGACTTGGAAGCATGTGTTTTTGTGTACCCTGAGCGCAGCTGCAATCTCTGATAGTCTGTATAGGAGAGTCCCTGCAGTGGCTTCCTCCCCATGGACCTCTGAACACATCGGGACACATGGTCTGTTTAATTAGGAGAAAAAACAAGTCATCTATGTGAGACTTGGCAGAGCAATTATTTGCAAGTTAAAAAAGAGAATGATCAAACTTCAAGTGTGTTTTGGGATTCTGTAAATTAATGACAGGCAGTATCAGGTATAATTATTTAAATTGCTCCAAAAAAATGGAAGATATTAAAAAACAGAGGCTCTGCTTGCACAAACTCAAATGTATGTAAGACAAACATTATTTCTGATTTTGCAATATATAAAACATCTCTAAGCCCGATGAAATTTGACATGTTAGAATATGCCTGTGCCATAGGGTGAAAAAAACTATAAATGATGAACATCCCATCATGAGACAGTTGTTCTGCCTCCTGGTGCAGACCAAATTAGTCTCTTCTGAAACTGATAACATATATTCCGCAATATATGCTTGGCGTTCAATAAGTTGTTGCCAGCATAAACGTTGAAAGGTGGCATGTATCCAATGTTAAATTAATTTAATACATCAATTTTTTCCTGGTCTAAACAAAACAAGACTCAAAATATGTCAAATCTATATATAAATACATAGATATACACATATACAGGTTTTGCTCTGATATATTTGAATGGAATACTAACATTTGTGCAGCCCAAGCCATTGGCGATGGGATACTTATAAGCTGCATTGGAAGTGAGTCCAATGGTTTGTGGGCTGCCACCATGATAGGATCCTCTGAAAGAAAAATAAATCATAAGCCTTTTAAATATTTAGAGTACAGAGTGGTTGTTTAACAATCAATCTAATTAACTGGACATATTACTAAACAAAACTATGGCTAATTACTCCTTGTGTGGGCCTCTTCTTTACTCTAAACTTATGTCGAACATACATGATGAACATCAATGAGTAATGAATATAACATGGACAGAAATAGGTATTTTAATTTAAATAGCTAAAAAGAAAGAAAATCTCAGACCTGAAAGTGATAATGTCAAAATTTCCAGTGTGGAGTCGAGCCATCAGCATGGCTAAGTCGTTGGCTTCAGAGCCGCTGTTGGTCAGGTAGATCACCTGCGAGGAAACAGACCGGACCATGCTTCAATTACATTCTACAGACATATTCAAGCACCCATGAGAAAGATAACAATTCACACCGATACCTTCAGAGGATCTGGGAAATAAGAAGCCAGCTTTTCACAATACTCGTGCAGCGCAGGATACACATAGATGCTTGTGGTGTGCCAGAGTTTTCTCAGCTGCTGCTCTGCAGCCGCTGTTACTTTCCTTTGCAAGAAGATATCCAAAATCAGTTCTTAAATCACTCGTGAAAAGAAATTCCTGCAACAAATGAAAGTACTGGCACTTGGTGAGGGGCAAAGGGGCCTTACGGGTGACAGTGGCCCACACTGACTGTAGCCACACCAGCGAACAAATCCAGATATCGCCTCCCATCCACGTCCCACAGCCACTGCATGTATCCCTGGTGGATGAAGACTGGTTTCTTATAATAAGTCACCTTCATGGTCATTGGATTGCAATTCTGTCTGCGGATCTCCATCATCCGTTCTTTTGACATTCCCTGGACAGAAGAAAGACACAAATGAAATGATGCAGAGTTTGCTTTAAAAAAATCTGTAAATCATTTTGTAGCCTGAGATTGTACAATGCTGTGTACATGGTCGACAATGTTGTAATAGAGCACGGACAGACTCATTAATATGATGAAATTCAGCCAGACTAAATAATATAACGTATTAGTGAAGTAATACAGAAGCCATCATTCCAAGAAAGACACAAGTGAGGAATATTTCACCAATCTAATTCCTTACCACATATTCATCTGGACTGAAACTGCAGGGGGGCATTTCTGGCAGGTCAGCCGGACGGTTTTTGAAGGCCGATTTCTGACACAAAGCACCTATGAAATAAATGTTGTTTATGTTCAAGCGCAGATGGAAAACAGTGATGGCTAAGAGCAATTGGTGAAACAATCGGCTGGTGGGGATCCTCATAGCACATCCAGTTTCTCTTGAATAGGTTCAGACAAAGTTTGAGTTGACATATTAAGGAGATACATCATTAGACCAGCCTGTTTATCTGCCAGAATACATGCCATTGCTGTTTATTCCACCAAGATTTAATGTATCTTTGTTTATTTGTTGTTTTCCATTTAGCATCTTGTTTAAAAAGGGTGGAAATCCCACAGGGTAAATTGTAACCTCGAGGGAAGATAGTTTGAAGGCGAAATTCGCCACTGATTGTTTTATATTCGTAGTCATGTCATTTCTATTACGCAAACCAACTGCTGAACTGCGGCTTTTCCACGGGGCCTTGCACAACAAACACAAGGGTTCACTTCTTTGCAGTCAGACACAATTCAAATAGGATTTGGTTCGTCTCCATGGTAACTCACCACTTGCCATGTGGAATTTGGTCAAACTGAGCCGAGCGGAGCCGCGTCCCACTAAAGCGGCCAAGCCACCTCTTAGACATGGCGCAAATTTATACATTCTGAATAATACACACTTATCCCACTTCCCTGATCCGTCTGACTCCCAGCTGAGACTAAATTCTTTGACATGTCAGTGCAAGGGGCGGTAACGATAAGGTGCGCAGACCAGGGTTCTGATTGCTCCATTTCGGTGCCCCCCCCCCTCCTCTATCCCCTACAGCGTCATACATCCTAACGTCATGTTTGGATACTTTGATCACCCAGTATGCAGCAAGTGTATGTGCACAGAATATATCAGGTAGGGGAGACACAGGTCTTATAGAGGGAAATGCTTCTGGTAAACAATCTGAAGGAGTTATGTGGTTATATGCATTAGTGCATCATTCCACTGTGGAAAAACGTAAGATAAAAAGAAAAATCTTTATGGATGTCTCTGATGCTACATTTCATAGTGAAAAAAAACGATTAGAGAAACCAACCCTCACCCTTTAAGCCCCACAGGCCTTAGTATGTTACAGAAACTGTTGGTAACCATGACCACCAGTTCCAAACATGTTGGATTTTAGTCTAACAGTAGCAAATGGAATGAGACTACATATTTTTTCTTCATTCCATGTTTAATTGTTGCTGAAGGTGATTGTAAAACCTGGTGAATCATAGAGTTTAATCAGTATTTTCAGATATTGTTTTTGCAATTCTTCTTCATATTCTTCATAATTAGTTAAAAGTCTAAAAGTGTATCTAAATAATAATGGCAGATTTACCAATATTAAGGAAACGCAAGATAAACAATATCCTTTTCTCTTTAATTTTTATTATAAACATGATTTTCACAAAGATTTGAGGACCGTTTTACACTGCACTGTTAATGATGTACACCGATACATTTAAATACAGAGAAACAGCACAGTGTACATCAACCATCATCACACTATCCCAATAAAAACTGACCTTTGTAGAAATAATTTATTTAAAAATAACAACAACATTAAAAGCATAGTCATATAAATCACCTCTGAATGACAAAAACAAATTCTCCCTTTCTGTTTTTGATTATCAAGTTAAACACATCCACACAAATACACAGACATACATACATGCATAGGCTCACAAAGCATGCTAAAGTGAATCTCTCTTTGGAACTTAATTGGTATTAGGGCACACAGCATTTCCAAAATATTCCTGAATAACCATAATTGGTGTATTAATGTGTAAGACTTTTGTAACATGTCAAAATCTCTTATCGATGTTCAAATGTGTTGAGATCAGATACTTATCAGAGCTTTAGATGTTATTTACATCATTATTATAAACTCAGACCCTCAAGTGGCAACTTGTGGACAGTGGGTTGGAACATTGACATACAGGGACAGACCACTCACATCAGTAGAAATAAATGTGTTTTTGTGCAATAAATATGATCAACGACAACAATCGTGTATTGACTTGCTAATGCCTTATTTGCTGAGGAAAAAGCAGACTCATGCAATTCTAGGAAAATGCAACCCACTGCATTGTAGAGCCAGTGCTTCCCCTAACAGAGGTTAAAGGTTCGTTAGATGAGGCTGCCTGTTGTTTAAGCAAATGCTGCTCAGCCAGCAGCATTGAAAATATAGTTTTCCATAGAGGCAAGAAAAATCAATTATATTATAATCAAAAGACAAACTTATAGTACCACATGACTTAGAGTATTGAATCAATTATGTTGTTAATGAGGTTAAATAAAGATTATTCTTTTGATATTTAAATCAAATTATTTTCCCTGTTTAATATCCAACTATATCATAACTGAAAATTATCTCAATGACTCTGTGATTGAAAAATATCTGTATCCTTGTCAGTCCGTGTCGGAGGAGTCATCAGGTGTTGATGGCTTTAGTTTAATGTCCCAGTCATCACACATTTCGGACTTTTGCAGCACTTAGTAAGTGGGCACGGTGAACATTGTGGCAGTGGCGGTGTCGACGTAACCGCTGACGGCCCTCTCATCCAGAGCTGGCGGGGCAGTCTGAACGCAGGGCTTCTGTGGAGCGTTGGACATGGACGCTGTGTAGTAGTTCTCAGCTGCCTCGCTCGTCAGCTGACTCACACGGGGGAACAGTTCCACCTGCTTTTCTCTGACGTCGCTCTGGAACAGCAGTAGCACGTTGTCATTGTCCGTGGTCTTCACCTTGCTGTACTCTTCGGCCCGGTGCAAATCGGAGCAGTCTTTTCCATGGCCTGAAACAGCGTGGAGGAGCACCACGTCCTCATTCACCGTCTGGACCTCCACGTACTCAGTGGAGCACAGCTTAGACAGCGGCTGATCAGCAGGTGCTCCTTTATGATGAAGGTTGGAGATGTTATTGTCACTGCGGGCCTGGAGCTGCCGGTTGATCTTCGTCTGGGGATTGAGAAGATCGGACTGCCTGTTGCCGAAGGTAAATTCACAGTAGTTGGATCTGAGTCCCTCTTTGTTACTGTGGTCTGGTAGAGTAAGGTGTGAGGATAAGGAGCCTGGCGGGAACAAGCTGTCAGAAAGGCAGTGCTGTTTGGCCATTTCAAGTGACCCCGGTTGGTCCAGTGGGTGTGAGCTGTACTGGGGCAGAGTGGAGAACACAGAGGGCCAGGTCTTCACCTTCCCAACCGACAAATCGGGGCTAATGGCGTCATCACTGGTATATGCCGGCTCTTTTTCCTCGTGGATTTTCGCGCCCGTCTCCGTTTGACCGCCCTGCTGACCTGTTAGCCACTCCTCTTTTTCCTGCCCACACTTCTCCATGAGCAGAGTGTGACTGTCACAGCTGCCGCGGCCAGAGTCGCAGTCAGAGGTGGAGCTTTCGGATTTGAGGCAGCAGTTGTGCAGAACTTTGCTTTCCTCCACTATCAGCTCCTGCTCCTCAGGAACAGACACCTCCAGGTACTCCACAAGCAAGTCTTCATAGTTGGACGATGTTGTTGGGGGGAACTCGGACACTGTCAGTGAGCTGAACATACCATCAGCCTTACCATTCTATTCAAAAACAGAGAACAGAAAACAGAAAATGTCCTCAGTTATAAGAGAAGTAAAAGTACAAATAATAGTTTTGGCAATTTGTTCACATGTTAATGATTATGTAGCTGCTTTACCTTAAGAAGCTGTCTATCAAATCCCTTAATTTTAGGACCAGGGACTGGTGGCAGAAGGCAGTGTTTCAGACTACAAACACACAAAAAAAGAGATATATCTTAAAAAAACAGCATTCACAACATTTTGACATGAATGAGTATATATGAGTAGGAGAATTAGTATGAGTATTTTCTTATTTTTCAGGAAATGTAATAAATCTATTATAATAAAGGGTTTAAATAGATCCAAAATATTTTCTTAAAATAAATGTAATAACAGCGAACAGACGTGGAAGAACAAAAACTAACGACAACGACAACAATTTTGAGAAGTTTGGAAATCGCACAAATTATGATCACAATAAAATGAAATAAATAAACTTCACAATAAATGCATGACTGTTCTTACTTGTGGCTGTTCATGTGTATCAGCCAGGTGAAAATGAAGAAAATGAAGGCAGAAAAGACCGTGATGAGGATCCACATTGACTTTTCCCGAGGGAAATCTGAAAGAAGAAGCAAAACAACGTCACAGACTAACTCAGGCTTATAAAAAGCATTGTTATAGAGGGGAGTGTGATTAGTGGAATTAATTCCAGATGACAGAGAAACACCGGTACAAGGACAATAGCGTTAGAGCTAGTATTGAGCGGGTCCTTTCAGAAAAGTGGACAAACATTGAATACAGTGTGATGTGTAGTTCATTATTGGTGGATGTCTTACAATCAGGAAATTTGACGTAGGAAGTGGAGCTCCATTCACTCCAAAAACCATGATCGGGTTTACAACGCACTTGAACGAGGTATGTGCCTCCTGAATGCAGGCTGAAAATGTTGAACACTTTCTGCTGGCCTGCAAGGTGCGTCTGTGAATCCAACACACAAACGACACACTCCGGTCAGTTGTTTGCAGCGGGAAGCAAAGGAGACTTTGATGTTGTCTTCAGCAAGATTGTAAGCACCAAGACACTGTTCTTTACCTCCCATTCGTCATCTCCTTCCAACTTGATACGAAGCTCATAGATGAGGGTAATCCAACCTGAGCGGGTGTCGGCTTTAGGCGGCGGTTCCCATGACACCCGGAGGAAGGGATGCTCTTTGTTCCCCAAAACAGTCACTGCTACATGCTCTGGAGGATTGGGCATGACTGCAGAGAAAGAGAGAAAATGTGAATGGGGACATTCATTGTGGTGGGAGAAATGAAATAAATTAGATAAAAGAATGTTTGTTAATGAAAAGCACAACTAAAGCCTATGTGCCAAAGTAACCCTTTTTTTTTTTTTTACTGCAGAGCAATGAACACCTCCAGCGGTGGAGCTCTGATATTGCAGGAGTGACCTTTGAAATATTTGTTGCCGCTTGTGTGTGAAATGACAATGCAAAGAGAGATAGAAATGTTTAGGCTTAATGACATCCACTTGGAGACCCAAATGAAAATACTAAGATGAAAGAAGTAAAGAGATAATTATTTTGCCTGATATCAAGTCTGCGTAGCTGTTTAAGACGAGGAAGGGAATCACGCACAAATAAGTAACCTCAAGGTTAAAGTTTGCTTTGAGTTAATGGTTCTTTTTCAATTACTTTTCAACATAACTAGCCAAGATATCTGATAGTTCAGTTTGGTTCATTAAATTGATTTATTCTACTCCCTTTTTTTTTACTTTGATCATAACTCATTTGTTTCTGAAATGAGTTAAAAGCTTCAGTGAGCAGGGCAGTTGGAGGCAGTGACTGGATCCTGTGGGAGTTAACCACAGAGTAACCTAACATACCATCTGTGTGACTGATGTTTTAAATACTTTATTATAACTCGCACAAAAAAAAGTTACGTCAAAACATCAGGTAAAATGATTGCATACAGTCCCAGACACATATCCCTCACCGATGTAGACAACATCAATCTCAATGGGGTCGGAGAAGGTGCTGCCCAAAGGGTTGGTGGCCACCACGGTGATGTTGTAATTGACCCAGATGGACGTATCGTTCTTGTTGAAGAAGCAGGAGTTCTCCCCGGCCGTGAAGTAGTCGGGACACTCGTACACTAAGTCAGAGCTGCAAGTGAGGCAAAAGAACGGCATGTAACTGAGTGTCTCTGTGCAGTTTTGTTACATCGGGAGAACAGTGTGTGTTATTCATGCTACAGTTTCTGAAACTCTCCAAGGGAGTGCAGTCATGTGTGTGTATGTAAGCTAAAGTAAGAGCTTAATTAAAAGAGAATTATGGCTGCATTTTCTTCATATATTTAAATGGGACACAACACATTGAGTGGAATTAAGAACAGCAAAGGAGATAGACGGAGATGTGTCATTTCCTCCCGGTTTACTTTTTCTTCATATTTTCATTCCATAGCAACCACTGCCGGTTCAAATCCCAGAGGAAACAGGTGCCCTAATGAACACAACCTGGAGTATTTGTTTAGGACAGACAGAAACGTGTCCTTGTTGCTGGAGCAACAACTGGCGCTGATTCATAATGGGACTCACGGAAGGTCGAGAAACAGATATTGATTCCACTTGCGAGTCTATATCATTCCAAAACTGAATCTTGCGGGCAGTATCTCCACTGACGGAAGTAATCAAAATCTTAGATCCGTCTCAAAAGAGATTCACAATGGAAGTATTTAAAAAAAACTAATAATGACAAAATGATGACACTGGAGGTGGAGCATGATATGAAATGAAGAGACACTCACTTTTCTTTGCGATAGAACAGTGCATAGGAGGTGGGCAGCCCCCCATCAGAGCCCGGCTCCCACCAGCAGGTGAAGGTCTCTTTCTCAGGTGAACGACATCTTGTCAGTGTGGGTTTTCCTGGAACGCTGTAACCTTAAGACAAACGGGACAAAAAAGCAGGACATGAAACCAGATGCTTGCATAATAGATGTGCTTCAATGGAGATGATCTCCTTTTTCTTTGTTGTGGGTCAGGTCAGTTCCACATGAGAATCTAGCCTGGATTTGCTATTTTATTTAAGATGGATTCTATTCTTATGACCCTTTTAGGGTTTTGTTCATTTTTTAGATTGTTTACATGGTTTTAGATATATAAAACACTTTTTTTCTTTACTAAATTACCTCTGTACCCAACCACCTCATTCCCTTGCACAGCATATAACTTATAGTTATCATTTTTTAGGATGAGGATGTGATCATAATAATTTCAACAGAGCCTTTGGTATGAGGTTTTGAATGAACTGGCAGAAGTTCAGGTGTTTGTAGTCTGCCTCTATGTCTGTTTTCTGAAGTAGGATGACCTCTGTCCCTAACGATAAACATTGATGCTGAAGCACCAGGACACACACCGATGTCTACAGCTGGACAGAACTAATCAGCTTTGCGTGAGTGGATGGGTCATTTTCATGTTTGTGTGCTTAGAGTAACTGACCCTCTTAACATTTCAACATTGGTAGCTTTCCTACATGGACCACTATGCCATACTTGATTAATGCAAAGGCAAAAAGAACTACAAGAAAGCCTTCAGATAACTTTCTTTGTTGTCATCACTAGGGCTTCTGAAAATTTAACCTACATACAAAAACTTACTTGTTCCCTCTGCAAGCAGCACGAATAACAGCAGCAACCACGGAGCAATAACTCGGCCTTTCATCCTGGAACTGCAAAGTGTCAGCTGTGGAAGCAGAAACAAAGACAGGTATGGGGAACTGTTTGATTTTTGCAGAAGAAAACTGCTTTTTGCTGCTGTGGAGTGCTGTCAATGCGGCCCGTTTTGTTTAGGAGTAAACCAGAGCGTGAATGCTTATATTAAATTAAGACTGAAGGAATTACAAAGTGTGGCAAACATAAAGAGACACCTTCTACAGGAGAAGGACAAAAAAAACCTCCAATACTTCTCTCCAGGTAAAAGGTAATTAATCATAAAAATGGGGTAATACACATTTAACACAATAAACCGAACTAATAAAGACCACAGTGCCAAAATAATCGGGAAAAAAACTCTGAATGAAAAACAAACAAACAAACAAACAAACAAACAAACAAACAAACAGACATAACCTAACGGCTAAAATAAATCTTCCTCTGAGAATGTTTGCTGCTTCAGTAGGGATTACAAAACATCCTCTCAATTTCTGACATTCTCCACCAGCTGGCACACGCTGCATATCTGGTTGCATAATCTTAGTCGGGACCCGACAACAGAGACACCAACACAGGAGGAGGCCGGCTTACATCACACATCATCACTTACATTTCCCTCCACATGATTTGTAAATCTACATTTGACTAGCAACAGGAAGACGTTTTGGTAACTGCTGTGCATGACCATTTGTGTCTAAACCAGCTAAGAGCTTGAGGGAGGAGGATTAGGAGGCAGAGAAAAGAAAATATAGGCTAAATAGAGTTGGCAAAGCCAGCTAAAAACACTAGTCATGTGACCACACCCATGCTGGCTCACGTTTCAGTGATTCCTTCTAAGCTACATATTGCTGTCTATTCCTTGCTGCACGTATTAAACAGGGATTTCTTTTTACCTTTTTGAATAGGTAAAAATAAAAACCTCAAACAAGGAGGGACGTTAAACGAGGCTCTCAGATGCAAGACTGTTGAGTGAGATTGCTTTACCGGAATGAATATCAGGAAATGAAGCAATGGGTGAGGCCTGCTTTTTAAAAAAAACTTTACCATTGCAGAGTTGTTGTGTGACGTCTAATCTAAAAGAAACCAGTGGGAAATATTCATCTTTAACATTTCTGTTAGTTATTGGCTTGGATATTTTCCATTGTCCATAAAGTGAGTGTTTCTTCCTCTTGTTTCACCAGCGTGACACAACATGTAGCAAAAGCTGTCATGCACAAACACCACCAATAATCTCAGTGTAACACAACATTTCAACACAACAGTTAAATCTGTGTCTGGGTTTCAGTGTGTGTAACTGTCAGCAAATGATACAATGCAGCAATGCACCGTACCATTTTCCTTCTACGTTACATTTCTGAGGTACTGACTGTGAGTTCTTACTTTTCTACAATCTTTTGAATCTACCACAAAAAGGGGAAATCATATGCTCTTCACTGAACTCCACAAAACAAAATGTTTTTGTCATACATTTAACCAGTGTGTGTTTAAGATGATGCTACTTGTCAAATAGCTAAGATAGATAGATGCAATACTTTATTCCTCCCCGAAGGAAAATTTGGTAAGTTGTGAGTTTATAATTGATTAATTGTTAAAGTGCTCAATATCAGTTCTTAATTTAGATAATCTACTATTTAAAACCATTAAAAATTAAGTCCTCCAATATCAAATACAATAACTTACTTTCATATCAATGAAAATCTGTACGTACACTATATACAGGCATACCAAATGCCTGTATATCGTTTCACATCACATTTGTTTCTACTGAGTACTTTTTGGTACCCTTTCATTCCTTTCACAAACTTGAACTTGACAATGTAGGCCTCAAAGTAAACTTCCCTTTAGTGCTGCACCGCTGGCCATGAGAAGAACTGCATACGGTGGTGTTATAACATGTCAACAGATGGTGGAACATCTACTTAACTTCCACATTTATGTGCTTAGTGGTGACAGAGATGTTGCATTTCTCCTATGGTTCGCAGGTAACTTGCTTTAAATTGTATAGGCAGAAGCCATTACCAAACTGTCAGTAATGATGCCTTAGTGATCTGATAATTGGCATTAAGATCAAGGCACTGGATTAGCCTCCTGCTGCATATAGCCTTCTTACGCAACCTGTAGCCCAAAGTGAATAAGCTGCTAATCTGGGACAGTGTTAGCCAACAAAGCAAACCTCTTCTGACACAGGCCTACATGGAAATGGTGTAGGTGTTGAATCTATTCAATAACTTATGAAGCTCTTGTATCTATGTATTTGACAATCAATACTGCCAAAACTGTGATCCATAAGTAAAAGTACAGCATGAAATCAATTTCGACTTAATGCAAGGGTACCTGGTCTTATGGTGAGAAAACACTCTGGACATTCAAAGGATGAAGTAATGAAACTAAATTAAGCACTTTTTTAGCACTAATTTAGCATATTGTAAGTCATGAAACACAACTCAGAAACAGTATCTAATGTTAAGAAATAAAAAATGGTGCATTGAGGTAAATATTCAACAGTCAAAATTACAATCTATAACCCATATTTTAATTCTTAAAATTCTTAGTGTATTGTAGGCATAAATAATAAAAAAATATATATTCTAGGAGTCAACAGGCTTGAAACTTAAATTTAGACCATTGATTAATGATATACCTAATGCTTTGTGTAGCCTCTGTAGCCTCTCAGTTTCAAAAGAGGTGAAGAAAATGGCTTCATTTTCATCTTGAGACTATTTGGGAGCAATGGAGCGTAGTCAGGCATTGTAGTGCAACAGCCAAAAGATCCCATCTTGGAAAAATAAAGTAATTTTTAGGTGAGTAAAGTGATTTTCTTTCTTTTGACCAGGAAAGCTGACAAAACAAGCTGAGTTACATAGTTCTTTTTCGAAGAACTCGTTTCTATTTCTCAAAAGTGAGAGAGAAGAAGCACAAAAGTACACCATATATCCTAAATGATTTACAACACATTCCCGTTTTGAAGTTTCCTATTAAGTGAGCCGAGAGGGGAAAAGGGTTCATGTATTTCTCATATTTAAAACCTTCCTTATATAGACAGGGGAATAGTAATTATCACTTAACCTGACATGTTTGGCATTTGTGAAATGTGCTGCCGGGCCTTAAGTGTTGCCAAGGTTTTTCTTGAGTATGAATGTCCCTTTCTGAGCAAATACACTGTAAATCACTATAACTCTGGTTAGAAATTGTTACACAGTTCGCTAGAAGGAAAGTCTAAAACTGTAGCCAAATAATTCCTCCATGATCTTCCATATAAAAACCATCCAGAACCTGAAATCATGCTCCAACTAGAACAGCCTGACAATTCCTGGTATTGTGAGCAAACTGGTTTGAACAGAGGCACTGACGTCTTTCTAGGAAACCATTTTTTTCCCCATGTGGGCAGTCAAGGATACAGAGCAACAAGTAAGAAAGCAAGGTTGTAAAGTAATTAAACTATAAAGAAATGGCACAGAAGGGCATACATTTCTTAACTTGGCTGCAGTGTTTCACTGTCAGTACAAACACTATTGTTGAGGTTTAGAACTTTTACCTGGAACCAAATGTTCAAAATTACTGACTTGCATTTTTAAAAATGTATTCATATCCGTGGATAGATAGATGGATGCCGAGAACTCAGACATAAATTCAGCCTCTTAATTCCGCAAAAAAAGTGGATTGTCTTCAACAGCTACAGTAACTGAAACACTTTTGTATTTCATTGTTGCACTCAAAAGCTTTTGCCATGAAGTCACATTCATTATCTTTTCATGACCAACCAACGTGCCATGAGCTGCTTAGATAAAAAAAATCCTTCAAGGATGTCAAACACGCTTTTTCCTCCCATCAAGAATAATAATCTTAGTTTTCTTTGACCTGACTGAAGTTAAGAAAGAGGTTATATTGATAAGAACATATGGGTCAAGGTGAGAAGTTTAGTATTTGGAGAAGTTTTTCTTCGCAAAAGGCACATTGGATAGGCGAAAATGCAAAAAGGAGGTTCATAAATTACTTGAATAAAACAGTAAAGTGAAAAGTCTGATAACTTTTTTTTTTTTTTAAAGAATGTCATCATTGGCTTCAAGCAGCCCGTCTTAATTCATCCTGGGGTTGTTTTTATTAAAGAGCCACATTGGTGAGATGGAAAAAGATTTATCAACATGGTTTATTTGAAGTCTGAGCACCACTGACAAATTTTCTTATAGCCGATGGCAAAATTTTGAAAGGAACGATACTCAAATATTTACTTGGATTAAGATTAATGCACATTAACATTACATGATAAATACTGTCAGTAAAAAACGTATTAGTTAAAAGCCAGTGTTAACAAAAGTACACTATTATGGCCCACTTGTCATGTCGTATGGGCTTTAAACTGAATATTAATACTTTGCTGTAGTTTCTTTAACATCAAATGATTATCTTTGGTCGTTGTTCTGTATTGAGTGACACAAAGATCAAACTTAGTCCCCTTTGAGAACTGGACAAACTAATTTGTAGAATTTTACTACAGAGATAAAAGCAGTTTTCATTACAACAAACTTATCATGAACGAACAGTTTTCTTGCTTGAAGCTTAGAAGTCTCATAATAGTAGCAGAAACATACACTACCCAAGGGTGAGGTTAAATAAATAAAGCCTGAAAGTGGAAAGAGTAAGCTAACTAAGCTGTAGCCAACTAACATTATAATCCAGTATTGAGATGATCACCCTGTTGCTATAAAGGTCAGCAGCCTCTCTCATCCCCTCCTAAAGTGAAGCAAGTCTCATTATATCCCAACATATTTGACTAAGAGGGGGGGGGGAAGTACCAACCTGACTTATTCAAGGTACTTTTATTTAGGTTGTAGTTAATCACAGTCAATCCTGATGACAGGCGCACATATCAGATAATAATGTGAGAATGAGTACCTGCTGTTGGGAGGAGTTGGTTTCTTCCTCTGGGCACTGCGCGTCGTGGCTCCGCTGAGGTCTCGTCCAAAGGTAGAGTTACCTGTCAGCTGCCTTCCGTGATCAAAACAGGGACGTGCACACATTACATCGTGCCATCATGCCGGTCAGCCGTCCCATCAGAGGGGAAACGCTGAGCGCAAATTCATACCGGAGTGCGCCGGGAGGGCGGGGCTGAGGAGCCCCGCCTCCCCCCAAACCCCGCCCACGCCCCAAGTTTGCGCATCCAGCCCAGGCTTGCCTTAATCTATGTAGGGTAAACAAGCGATGGCAGGTTGGTGAAAAGGCGTGAAATACTGTCTTGAACGTTAATTCAGTACAGCTTGATGACATCGATAAAGGACACCTCACTTTTTATGCAAAGAACGAAGGAAATTCAGAATGTGTCACAAGCAGTGCTTGATTTGATCTGGAGAAGACAGTAGATTGCCCACAATTTGCAAAATTTTCTTTAAGATTACTTGAATTTCATTTTACCCTAAAGTCAATTTACATAATTATTCTTTCAAATCCTTTGGGAATGGGTTTATATATCTTTTCTAAATTTGAGTTTCATAATGTTTCATACTGCTAGTATTCGCACCCACCCACGCCAAATTTACCTCAGGGCACCTTCTTATTCCTTGAATGTTTTTACATCTCATTCTCTTTGTGCAGCAAGTTTATTCACGCTGCTTCATTTCTTCACCTTAACCTCGAATTTGTTGAGAAACATTTTATCACTATATACCTGTTTGTAATAGTTAAATGGATAAAAACATGTAAACAAACTAAATTAATTCTCAATCAAGTGTCATATGACATGTTATGTCAGAGAGGGATCGGCAACACATTTTATTGCAATGCCCTTGCTGTTATTGTTGCCATTTATGCATGTAAAACATTATTCTGGCAATACCCCGAAAGATCTTTTCTCTGTAAACACTTCAAAGTCACCCCTCCTCATGGCAGCACAGAGTCCCTCTTTACAGCTACCTTGGTAACTTCTTCTTTTACAAATATTGTAAAACACATTTTTACACTGAATGATATGCTCTGTTGACACATTGTTTATTTTTCACTTGTTCCTCCTACTAAGAGCTGTAAACATAGTTTTATATCCCAGGATTTGGCACCCCCCCTATCCCTCCAGCATACATTCTGAGCCCAGCTCACATGTTTATGCATTAACGTGTGAGTAGGAGTTGATTTATTTATCACCTTTTGGATATGAATGTGTAACAAAAAAACTGTTGCAGTCCTTTTGTTGTTCAGTTTTGAAGATAAAACAATCAGTGCTGAAGGGAACTAAAAACATTCTCTGTGTAGGAAATCACAAACTTTAGCGTTTTAAATCCCCAAAGGTGCAACAACTTCAAGACACACTTTGTTTCCAAGTGAATGATAAAGGAGGACATACAAATTCCTATGGGGATCTTCAGGGATCTGTGCATCCGATTATTGTCCCCTCAGCGTAACTTCCCCTTAGCTGATTGTGCTGATGCCGTGTGGTGGAGTACCTAAAAAGATCTTACAGACACTGACGCAAACATTCACGCACATGCATTCTCAAACATGCACGAGGGAAGCTAGACTGGGAGTTCCAGGAAAAGCATGCATTGTGTGGGCACCAGCATGTGCTCTGCACAGCAATAAAAAAGAAAACAAGAACATGTTGAGCCCAGTTCGGTGACTAGAAACCGGGTCAAAAATGTGAACTACAAGCTGTTGATATTCTGTTTGTGATTCTAACAGCTGGGCTTTAGGCATTTTTAGTGAAGTAAAACGTGCCGTAGACAACCTCACATTTAGGAGTTTTAGAGTATGACACTAAACGATTGAAAACGTAACAAATGTGTTTTCTATTAAGATCTTCTAAGCTGATATTTTGATATCAGTGATGCATAGCATTATTCATATGTTCAATCAATGCAGTTATCTCTGCATAATCTGCTTTTGGCCGTAATGAATGATGGTTTTATGTCAAGGATGGCCAGCAAAAGCTCCCCCCTCCCCTCTTCAGCCCTACTTAGTGGCAGTAATGTTATATAATATGGCCATCTGTTAGTGACAATGATTTAAAAGTCCCCCAGTGCACACGACATGAGAACGTAAATAACCATTTGAGCAAGACAAGGTCTGATGAATGTGATACGGATTTGTTTTATTCGATTGTGAAGAGACACATTTACCGTCATGTACCTTCCAATTCTCTTCACTGCTTTTCTCCCATTCGAAACAAATGCAATCGTGTGAGATGGTATTTTACCATTTATGCCTTTACTTGTATGTTCATAACTGCATTGGTATGAACATAGCCAATAGGCAAAGAAATATTGTCTTTTGTGTGATTTTAGTGGACATTTGGTTGGCCTCATCCAACCTGTGAAACCTCACAGCACATACAGTTAAATAGTGACACCTTGTGGTGCTTTTGGAAACTGTTTTTATGGAAAAATGTGTAATGAAAGCTGGTGTAAAGCTGTGAAAGCTGGTGACAAACTAATCACAAATTTGGACTTATCTTTAGAAATGGTTTATCAGAACCTGCCATTAGTCTTGTTGGATGTGATGAGACTTGTGGCAATTTTAATTGACTGCAATGCTGTATATCAGATACACTGCTCCCAATCATATAGGTGTATGCACTTCTTAATCTAAGTCTGTAATGTTAACACTTTTTTGTCTCTCGGTCAAGCCCTACAACAGATTCCAAGTAGGCTTAAGTTGAAGTAGCAGAAGGAAAACCAGTGACACTCCTTCACCCTCTTTGTTAGCATGTAGTTCTTTGTTTTTGGACTCATGAAACTGCAGTATGAATCGTTTCCGCAGTGGGTGGAGTATGTCAGTAAAAAACAGAGTGTTACTTTAGTTCTGTAGGGAAATAAACTTTTTGTTGCAGGTGTCCCATCCCAGTGTAGACAAAACACCTCCCAAAATAAAATATTCCCACCATCATGCTTCACTGTGGGTTGAATACATTGTGACATAATTCTCTCATCTGCTTGCTTCTTACATAACACCCTCTGTGATTGGACAGTATCTCAGACTCAGATTTTTCTTTCCCGCACATTCACCATGAGACACGGTTGCACTATGTTCCATCTCTGGTCTTGTTTCTGTAAAACTATTTGGATATCTTCTTAGACTTTTTCTGTTCATATATCAAATTTTCTATCAGCGACAGAGCTAAAATAAATGATGAAAAAAAAAGTTCCACTTTTTTTTACTTTTAACAATTCTGCTTTGGATACTGCTCACCAAGTTTAAGCACAGTACTGAGAACTTACAGATTTCTAGACTTTAAGATGAGCCTGTAACAGTAATATATATATAACATAACATATATAACATAATATAAAATATAATATAAAAGACATAAACAATTTAAACAATCATTTGAAATTAATAGATGGAGAACAATGCGGCCATGTTTTGTACAAGCCCATGCTTGTACGTTCCTTTAGTTGTCTTTGTTCCTCTTTCAAATCTATCAATTTTATGCAGAAGCACATTTTGTTCTGATGTTTAGCATGATCTAAGAACCCAGCTAATCCTCATTCATTTGAAAAAGCTGCTGATTAACATCACAATTTACAATTATTTAGCGACAGGTTGTCTATAAATGTTTTTCCATTTTGCAGAGTGTTTAATTCAAAAGAAAAAACAGACAATCACTACAATCACTTGGGTGTGAATCAGGTGGAGCGAAACTAAATCTCAACAGTCTAAGATCATTAACCTCGTATATGAAGTTGAATGATAATATTGAACATGTGTTTTACACTTTGCCTGTGATTGGCTCACTGCCACAATCCCCGCCCATATAACGAACGTGCTTCAGACCATTTTGCAAAAAATAAATAAATAGTAAAAAAAAAATGGATGTTGTGATGCTGTACATTGCAATATCCTTGTCTACATTACAAAATTATTTTTTATCTTTTAGAGAATTACCTTTAATCACCCAAAAGAATACTGGCAAAAATTATATTAATGCAAAGTATGCACGAAAACCCTTTGATTACCGCCCCTCTTCTTTAATTGGGCAGCTGGGAAAGTTGGAGGATTTTAAAATATATCTGATTGGTTCCTGAAGAGGACAATCAGGCATAGTCCGTAAACGATTGGCTGAGCTTTCAGGAGGAAGTCAAGTGTCACAACATTTGGTGATAAGCTTAGAGCTGACAAAAGCGATCTGTCTCAGTAGACACAATATAGATATTGTCTTTTTCTTCACATCCAGGTTGTGTCTTGGATGGACAATACTGGCGTGCACTACGTTATCTTGTTGTGAATCAACCCCCCATCGGTGCCAAGGATTTGATCTCACCGTGGACGTTACCACCACCGCACGGCAGAGAGGGGAAAGTGGGACTTTATTGTTCAAGGCTAGCTAGCTAGCTTTGCAAAGCGGCTTGTTTGTGTGTATATCGTGGATCGCAGGCTATATGGCTGCGAATTACGAGCCAATATACGGGCTTTCAGAAGATGAGGTAAGTTTCAAAGTTGATATTGCTTTGAAGATATTGCACAGTGAATTCATAGCAAAGTGTCACGGGGGGGCTTCAGCCAAAGATAGCTAACGGAGACCGTTTGAGAAGCTAACAAGCCCTCACCCACGGCAACATTCCGCTGTAGTGTTCAGGCAGCTGTCAGTTTCCTGTGCGTGTTTGCTAGTTCACAAACCCCTTATTTAAGTCAATAGTAAACTACTTGTAATTAATGGACACCTTCGTCCGCTGCCTCTTGAAATGAAACCGTCTATTACCGTGTTAACAGTTTTTTTTCTCTCCATACATGAGGGTTGGGTGACATTACAAATGAACCTCTTATGTCAAGCGTTAAACCTCAGCTGAGACGTAACAGCTGATTGATGGTCTGTGAGTCAAAAGAGGGTGAGGGCTGAAGCTGAGGCTTGCACTGTAAAATAAGGTCAAAATCCACGCGTTTTGTGGACTCTGCGTGGACTCACTCACTGTTGTAGTTTTAACACTGAGGCAGGGCAGATGTTATGGTTCTACATCCAATTACACAGCCATGTGTCCAAGTCAAAGTATCTCTTGATAATAATAATAAATGAATAAAAGGTTTTCAGCTTTCGCATCACCTGTCTGGTTGTAAGAAAACAGGGGAGAAGAAGAGATGTATGTTTTAAAAGTGATTAAGATGGATTATTGGGAAAGTGTTCTATTATTTTTAAGTTTTGGGGTTGCTTTTATAGAAATGTCAGCTGTCACTTCTGCCAAGATGAGAGATATTTATTTATGGATTTTGTTTCCAGGTAGGCACTTGGAACAGGATTTGCTTAAAAAAGCCTATAAGTGCTTATAAAACTGATATTTTTGCTATCCATTAATGGAGCTAATGATGAACCTTATAAAATTTTCAACCCAACATATGATTTATTTTCTTTCTGACCATATAAACAGCTTCATTGTGTTTTATCTCTCTGACATGACCTAATAGTATCAATTATATTTTGAAAAGGAATTATCTTTTTTTTAAATGATTAAAAAAATCACCTTATTGGGTATTTGAAACTTGAAGACACAGCGTGGTCCTCATCAAAGTGTCAGTGTTTCAGATCTGCTCCATATTGCTTTAATTTCTTGCTTTGACCCACCTCTTCCTCCTGAAGTTTCATGAAAATTGCCCAGGAGTTTTTTTTGTTGTTGTTGTAATCTTTCCTATAACCAAGCAGAAGCATATCATTTAGTTTCCACAAGTATAGAAAAGTATAGTTGTGGGTCTTGATCCCATGATGGCAATGCAAATCCTGTGGCTATGAGGTAAACGTACACTAGCACTTCATCTCCTGCATAACAACACGTCCTGGTCTTCTTCCCTTTCGTGCCGCAGCTCTAACTTAAACTAAAACAGACTTTGTTGTCAGGCTTAATGTAAATGTCATTAACCCCATTCAGGCACTTACCAAGAGGCAGTACGTCAATGATTTTAATTAAGCCTACAGTGACTTAGAGATGAGAGTGCAAAGCAGTTTATCGAGTAGATGGTTTGTCAGAACTTCTAAAAGCTTTTCTTTGAGAAAAGGTTCGAAATAAAGTTGATGCATACGTGGATTAAGAAGATAGTCATAAACCCATGGATTATTTCAGACTGCCTGTAAACATCTTTGGGGTTGGACATAATGGGATGCCAGTGCCATGTCTGCCAATGTTTTAATCTAAAATGTCAGGCTGGTAAAGATTCCAATGATGCTCGGAGACACTTTTCTGTGGATTTGATTGAACAGGTTCCATCATTTTCCTTTGACTCTTTCTTTTTCAGCATGAAACGCGAGTGCTGCGGGTTAAGGTCATCGCAGGAATTGATCTGGCAAAGAAAGACATCATCGGTGCCAGGTTAGTGTCACATCGGTTTTGAGGATACACCAGGAAAAAAGTTCTAATGTAAATACTTCAAGAAGATATGCCCCGAAGTTTCCTCAAAACATCCCAAAAATCTAGACGAACTGTCGTTGTTAAAATAAGGATTTGCCAGAGAAGCTTCATCACCAAAGATTTGGCTTGTTTCCTTAAGAGTTCCGCTCTTTGACTCTTAAGGTCTCTCTCAGCCTTTGACCTTGGGCTGCACAGGCCTGCAGACTTTCACTGCATTCCCCAGAGTTACAAGAACCTTGAACTCCAAGTGTTAATCAATGATTACCCACCTGCCTCATACACACAGTCAACCTCTTCTTGAGACAGAAGAGTTGAACTAATAATTACACATGCCACATCCCTACTCATACTGGAAAACACACCGATGTTAAAGTTAAACCAATGAGGGTTTTTGAGAGGTTATGTCCACCTGTTGTTTTTTCTGTGTGTGTGTTTGTGTGCTCCTTTACAAGTGTTACTCTTTGTTTTTAAAAACTTTTTCAAAAGCAGCTAGTTGTTTGTGTCCTAAACTGAGCTTTTTCTTGAATGTGACATTTTTTAATCTTTTATATATTAAGGGTAATAGATTTTGATATGTTTTCCTCAGAAACTAAAATATTTGGATGAGAAGTGTGTGTATGTATGTCTGACATGTGCACTTGGAGAATTATTAATTAGGTAGTTGGACTGTAATGTCCTTTCATTTTGCTGGGTGATCAACCAGCTCAATATTTTAGCTTCAAAACAGTGTAAAACCAAAATGTAATCTTTTAATACCAGGACATCATCATATGATCGGTGTCTGTGGAAATACTGTGTTTGTCAGTAATGCCCAGACAAGATGGCAAATTCTTCGAAAGCAAACCTGGCATTCCAGGACTTAGATGCTTGGATAAGTCTGTACATGACAGTGCTTTGCAAACGCGTGCAGCACTACTTCACTTACAGCCTGTCGGGGTTTCAAAAAGAAATACGACAACAGGCTTATTCAATTTATTTTATCATTTTTATTTACTCGCACATCAATGGCAACCTCAGCATTATAAGGTAAAGGAGGAGGTTATTAAAAACATTCGAATGAAATGGCGTGCAGTTGGTATCGAACCAAACTGGAGATGCAACTAATGCAAGCCCCATCCTCTTTTAAAAGCCGCGTCTTTCCTGTTGGTTTTAGTATGCATTGTTAATGAGCCCCCTTAAAGCCACATCACCAGAGAGAGAGAGCTGGGCTCGTTTACGGCTGTGCTCCTCGCATGCCAGAGTGCATGTGTTGGCATCCTGATGCCCTGCTGGCAGGACAGCTCAGCCTGGCCCAGGCGAAAGCCCAACTGTAATGAAGAAACGCTGAATGAGGTTTTGATATGTGGCTCCCTACCACCGTCGGTGCTGACTTGGCAGTCTGTCACCTCATAAGCTGCTCTAACAGTGCCAGCCTGTTCTTCCTTTTTTTCTTTTGCTCCAAATACTGTTCTGTGGCTGCTGTGTGACGGCGACCTCTCTATAATGAAGCTGTCTCCGTTTCCTTTGGAGGGGCTGAAACATTTTGGGGTTAGATTTTGAGGGGTAGAGATGGCACCTGGAGGAAATCGCTTGCTGTCAAATGACAAAATAATGGAGCTACATTTTAAATCCGTCTGGCCATGATATCTTTCATCTGGTGCTGCCCCGAAGTTGCCTGTCTGTCTCACACAGCGGGGTTTTTGATAATGAAGAGACTGAGAAAAGAAGTCTGGGAGCAGCAGAGATACAGTTGGCTCATTGTTTTTGTTTAGTCACAGCACATCACAGTGCCACACAAACACACAATTAGAGGCAGTGGGGTTCCTGAGGATGCTAATTAGCAATCAGGCAGCTCCGCTTGTGCTTCGGGATACGTTCGCGTCACTTTTCTACGTGCGCCTCGCCTTCGCTGTCTCCCTCTTCTAAATGGCTTAATCCATATTGATGTGAGGCGTTATTGTCGCTGGCAAGCCAGATCTAGTTTTGGACGCATTCAAACTGAAATGTGATTGCTGTTCCGATTAAGCCGGTTAGCAAAACATCCAGTGGAAACTGATATATTATGGAGTATCGGATTTAAGATGAATCCTCAGATGGTTTGAAATGTGGTTTTGCAGAGCCGAGGTAATGGCAGTCTCTGCTGCCATAAGTGGTAGTTACAGGACTCTGGGGCTTTGAATGCTGCTTCACCTCAGCCCGAGGAGAGAGGGACATTATTCAGCTGATGCAGTGTGACCAGCTGATCGTGCCTGAAACTTAAGCTCCTTATCCTGCCTCAAAACACCAATTGTACTGTTTACCCTTTCAGAGTAAAGTTAGTTGTCTTATTGTTGCAGTTGAAAGCATTTGATCCCAAAGTGTGAGTGTGTTTTTTTTTTTTCCAAAGGTGTTAAAAGTTCAGTTTTCCCTGAACGAGCAACTAAGAGAGAATGTTCCTTCTCTGGCAGAGATGAAGCAGGCATTTAGTGAGTTACCTGAAATATCCCACCAATGTTATCGTCCACTTATCTTCATAAACTTAAAAAAATACTGTCTACTAGCACATTGTGTGTGCCAGCGTGCACGTTAGCCTGGACCAAATCACTCTGAGTGGCAAATACTTGCTGATGTCCGGCATTTATACATGTGGTAAACTCAGTCATCTAATTGCTGTGACCTGCCGACGTGCAAAGCAGCCACAGGGACAAATTGCACAGTTTACAAAGTAGGTTATGGGTCAAAAAGCAAATCACCATTCATGTATTTGCATACCTTTTATGTTGTTCTTTACCTCTGCTTTAGTGATTACCTAAGCCATTCCTGGCTCTTGTTCACTAATTTGCAATTTTTTAAAATGTCTGATCACACACATTAACTGTAGGCTTATTGTCTGTCGAAATATAGTAAATTTGTATTTTTTTTTATTTTTGCAGCGATAACACACTAAAACTGGTGTAACCAGCTATTGTTGGTTATAATCCTACTTATAAAAAAAATAATCATCCCTCTAACATCTGGATACTGATATTCAAAAAGGCGAGGTCAGAAAACACTACTTCAGCTCACCAATGCTTCTTAGACACTCCAAAAAACACTTACTAGTCCAGGTTTTTCAGGTTTTTCTTGCCAAACATGGATGGTTTTGCTTTGTTCTGTATTAACAGGAGCCATTTCGTGTTTTTATTTATATTTATCATAGAATAACACTGGATAAGAATATAAAACCGTTCCTTCACTTTTCCAAAAAGTTTACTCTCTGTTTAAGCACCATTTTTGGAAAACAGTTGATGTACATGGTCCTCTCTGAAAATGCTAAATGCGCCTGCTTCCTGAGAACTAACGTGACCAGTACTCACTTGCCATGTTTGCATTGCACTTGGAAAAGAAAAACCCAATTCATTTATGCTAATCCATCTGAAACTGGGCTCTAAAATGCACACAAATGCAAATCGAGGTCTTACAAAATCACCAGATGCACACAGGTTGAATGTTTTCTCATCAACACACAATCTACACACCGGTGCTCCACTTTTTTAAAGAAAACAAAAAAGGCTCTAAGCAACTGAAATCTTAGAGCTCTTCGCCACTTCAACATTTTATAACCACACAGTGTAGTAAGAAAAGAGGTTCATTTAAAAACCTCTTTACACTGAATTGTGTGATACTTTGATGTCTGATGATCCCCAATTCAGTCTCACTGGTCCGGTTCAATAAAAATAGTTACTTAAGTAGCATGACTCAGCTATTTATTTAACCATACCGACAGGATTCTGTTCATGGCCGGTGTGATTGATTGTGTTTGTCATCAGCTTCGTCATCGTCGTGCTGTTCATGGCAGCCTTGAGCAGCATAGCACATCCCACCTCCTGACTACACTCAGCTGTGTGCCGTATCTAATGGAAACAAAGCAGTTTTTTGTATTGTCCTGAGATGTAAGGATGACCTTTTTCAGCTGTTGCAAACACAGTTATTTGTTTATTTATTTGTTTGATTGCACTCCAACCCAGAGCGCCCAGAACTTAAGGTGTGAGGATTTTTTATTTTTTGTTTTGATGGAGGGATAAGATTATTTCAGCCCCATTTCCACCACAGGCCCATAGAACTGTAAGGTTTTACAGTAGATTAGGCAAATGGAGTCTGCTGGAGATAGCTGCTGTGCACATCCAATCTGTGGCGGCGGGACTCTTGTGCAGCCACACTGGGTCTACAGTCAAACACACAAGTCTGTTTGTGCTGTGTTAACACAAAAACCCGAGACAGCTCAGGCCCTTCGGTTTTTTCACACTGTCTGATAGATCATTTTTGATATCTCAATTTAGGTTATCGTACTTAACCATTTGAATTTCCGTCCCTGGAATGAATAAATTATGGGTTTATACTATTCTGTTAAGGATGTTTTTATCTGTGTGTCTGTGTTTTAGAGCCTAACTGCTGTGAATAATTAGCGATTTAATCGGTTTAACATTCTTTAACAAGGAATTGTGCGACAACTCTTCTATTTCTTATTGCATTTAGAGCAATCTCTCTTCCTAGACTCTCTCTGACTGATGCAGTGAGGGACTGATCCTTTTGTTATTTTTAGGGTTTCAGATACCATCCCTCTTTTCATCCTGGTTCTTTTGGTGAGAGCAGAGTGGGTCAAATAGCGGCCCTCCAGAAAAGCTTGGTTCCTAATAAAGGTGCCTGCTGTGTGAATGGTTCTCACAGCACCACATGTGGATCACATAAAGCAAAACAAAAATTATTTTTTCTTCTTCGTCGGGAAGAATCTTCAGCTCCACAATTAAAAAGCGTCTCGATGGGAAGAATTAGATTTTTTAAATGATTTTTCTGTCTTCTAACCACAGCCTGCTGTTTTTTTATTTAAATCCTATCCAAAGAACTGCTCTATCCTGTTTTAAGATATCGAAATATTGCTTTAAAATACAAAGGAAAGGAGCAGAAGCTAAAGCCTTTGGGAAAGCTGATGTTGCCTGAGGTATTCATTCACTTGATGGTGTTTTATCATTTTTGAGAAAATTAACTTATATGCAATTTGACCAGCAAATAAGTTAGTAATAATGCAAAAGTCATTGAATTACTTCATTTTTAGATGCCTTAGTTGAACACAAAAAAGGAGATACGTGGTTCTTTAGAGGACCTGGTATTTCTGTTAAGAGTCAAAATCCACTCAGGCGTCTCACAAAGGCTGTGGTCAGTCAGCAGCTTCAGTTAAACGGTTAGGATATTTTAAATGTCCCAGTCACACACACCCTATTTACTGTTTGTTGCTGATTGTCTCTAAATGTTTTGCCGTTTCCTTTTTTAGCTCTCTGTCAATAAGACATTATAGCCCTATCTCGCAGTTCCCAGATGCAAGCATTTTCTTTCTGCTGGGCAGACTTAAGTTCCGGGTTCAGGTCTAAAAACAAAGTCAAAGTACCGACTCAGACCGCCGTGTTCACCGTTGAAGTGACTTTAGATCTGGACAATCATTTCATTAAGGTTAGGTACACTTAGCTTTTTAGTAATATAAAAACCTGTACTAACTCTGTAATAAATATGTGAGGCTTCAGGAGTTTGTTTGCATGTGTAAACTTGGATATTCAAATTTTTACAGTAGCCCATATATATATTTTTCTTTCTTGTTTTTCTTTATACATTTTTTAACAATATGCTATTTAATAGTTCCTCTGTTTTGTTTTCACAGCGATCCTTACGTCAAGCTTTCCCTCTATGTTGCGGATGAAAACAAAGAGCTTGCTTTAGTCCAAACAAAAACGATTAAAAAGGTAAGACTAAGGGCATGGAGGGACACAGTGCTTTCCAAAATGTTCCCCACCACTTTTTAATACAACCCCACAGCCGTCACCACCTTTCCTACAAATCACGACAATCACTTAATTCTGAGAGAGAAACCACAGGAAGCCGCCACAAGGCAGTACTTCCTTTTTCTGTTCACAAGAGTCTAGAGGGAGACATTGGCCAAGGTCTTTACCCCAGTGGCTCATTTTACGTGGAAATATATTCACAGTAGGGGGAGCTATTACTTGATATTAATGTTAATCCTGTGCCGGAGATATTTGATTTTTAAGTGGTCTAGAGTGAATTAAGGACTGTATTTTAATTAAAATTGATGCATTAAAGCAAGGCAAAGCACTTTGGCTATGTAATGTTTGTGGGTGGGGGCGTAACAGAAAAAAACTGTAGTTTTACTCTGATTTTTTAAATCAGAATCTATTACGATTGCTAGAAAATGGATGTGGTAGGTAAGGGAAGCTCCAAACAGCTGCCAGCTAAACCCTCTTTTGGAGTTGGGCATCTCCGGCCTCCAAGCAGGCAGACATATGCTGCCAGCGGCCATGGTTGGTTGCTTTATAGGATATAAATAGCTGACAATGCACCGCTATGTGGAGCAGAAAAAGAAGCCTCGCTGCTCGGCTCGTCTGGGGGCTCTCTGTGTCTTGAAGTGGGACACATTTGACGGCACCTTTGTTGTTGAAGTAAAGAGCTGGCCTGTGGCGAGATGGTAGGAAATATTATTCAAACTGTCACAGAAAGCAGAGAGCCAAGCTGAGCGCAATACCATTATGTTCAAATTGCCATCGGCATCTAACTGATGATTACGCAGCTAATCTGGAGAAAGTTATTTGCTTGTTGATCATTCAGCAGGGCTCACGCAGCCATTTGTCAAAGTGCACCGGGTTCATCTCTAATTGTAATATCTCGGGCAGTTTTTCTTTTCTTTTCTAACATTGCCACTGTTTTTAACACGACTGTAAAACCCTGTGTTTATTTATCGGAGTGACTTGTGAAATTGAGGCTTCATTGACATTTGAGTGTTTAAGTTATTTCAGCCACCACAGGAATTTTAATGTGAGCTGTCACTTAGCTCTCAATCTACAGAAATATCAAATGTGTGAGGCAGAAGGAAGGAGTCTTAAGGGCAGTGAGTCTGCTGGACTCACGCAGCCAGAAAGTGCTAGAAAATCTTCATTCTGTTAATCTACAGCCTGAATGCCAAGTTTTCTTTGCTACGAAAACGTCCTGTAACAACACACAAGGACCAGTGACACAGATGACTGAGCTGAATTTCTCACGTAGTTCCTTGCACCCTGAGTTGGATTTGTGTCATACATCTGCTCTGTTTTCGGTGCACACTTAAGCATTGTGTTGTTAAACTGTGGTCCAACCGCTTTCCCACTTTACATTTCAGACTCTCAACCCTAAATGGAACGAGGAATTCTACTTCAGGGTAAGTTTAGATTCGAAAGCTCTTGTGCAATTGGGGGCATTTTGTGATGTGTGTTGTGCTTGTACTTTTTCTTCCGGGGAAATATATTCACCTTTGGTTGCAGTTTAAGTCAGATGAGACTCATCTCAAGCCCCAATGTCATCAAACAGACCATATCAGCCTCATAAATATGATTTAACTCCTTACTTCTCATTTTCTTTCAAATCACGCTGTGCTTGTTGTTGACTACAAGCACAGATTTCAAAACACAAAAAAAAACTTTTTGTATGCCAGGGAACCATTTCATGACTCCTGTAACATGCCCTCGTGTTATATTATTGCCAACACAGGTGTGCCCTCAGAACCACAGACTACTCTTTGAGGTGTTTGATGAAAACCGATTGGTAAGTTTCTCCCTTTCTTAATTTTCAAGTTATTTAATTCTTATAAAACTTCATTTGAAATGTTTTTAAAAAAAGGTTGTCTTTTTTTACTGGATTCAATGTCCTTTTACTGCTTAATTTTTTTTGTTTAGTCTGAGTTACGCTCATAAAGAATTAAGATGCGTGTGCTGAAAGACATGCTACATTCATTTTAACACAGAACTCACCGACAAGCCTGAATGAATTGTATTAATGAAATCCTCTTTCCTATATGTATGCAATTTTCTTCTTGAGGGCTCTTTTATTCTAAGTCAAGTAAATTTCAAAACTACAGTTAACTGCTTGTTTGCAGGCTTTTCTCCCTGCTCGGCTGGGGGGGGGGGAGTCGTCCACTTAAGGCTTTTAACTCCTCTTATATCAGATTTCTTAGATGTCCCGCCCAGATGAAAATGTTCCCTAACATGGGAAATTATACCAGTTATAGGTCATTGGTTGCCATGGCAGCTGAATTAAATGTGAAGTGTTGCCGCAGTTAGAAATGCCCTAGTAGATCTCCATTGTAAATCTGTTCGTTCTCATTTTGGTCAAAAGTCTGTGGAGCAGATAGAGGTGAGCGGGGAGGCCGCAGACATCCTGGGGACGTTGTTCTGTGGAACAAGCAAAAAGTCTCCCTGGCAGTTTTATGTCTTGTATATCTTCACAGTAACTCAGCGGTCAGGATCATGAGTTCTGTGTTGTGATAAGAAAAACAATGGCTGCAGCCAAGTACAATTTGACTGTTGTCTGGACCTCGCTGTAGTACTATTAATGGTATTAATCATTTTAAAAAAGGATCTATTGATAAAATTGTATTCACTTATTTTCAGCTACATGTTTAATGGATTTTAGATTTAGTTGATTGGATTGATTCTCCAACGCCCCTGCTGAGGGTAGTTGTTGGCCTGTTAAGAAAAGGATGGCTCTAATATTCCCCCTTCGTACAGGGAGAGCTTTGTTGCTGTATACGAGGGGATGACACCAGAGCACAGCACAGACAGACTCAAGATCAGGCTTCTCCTTATATGTCTGAGTAGGTGCTTTCCATCCATCTCTAGGTGCATGCCAAAGGCAGCTCCTCCACCACCGGAGATAATTACTGTGAAGTTGCAGCTTGTTCGCTTGTGTTCATGAATTTATGGTTTATTTGTTAATTGAGAGGTTAGTGTAACAAAACATATGGAACGCTTGAAAGATGTGATTTTGTTTTCTTTTCTTCTAGAATTATGGCTGCTTTTGGTATTCATTTTTAGCCATACCTATCAGGAGTTGATAGTTGAATGTACTTAGAATGCAGCTAGGTCTCTAGTTTGAAATGGGATTGTTACGGCATTTTGCAAGTTGGGCTTCTCGCCATTGGACCACACATAGGCATTGTGTTTTCTTTATATGGAACATTGTTCATAACAGTTCACACACCACACACTGTAGGCAGTGTGTCATCACCGAGTGGAGCTGGCTGCCAAACCATGATTTCTTCTTATACTTCTGTCCTCCCCCCTTTTCTTTTTTTCATCCTTCCAACCAGTCCGATACACCATCCGGGGCTTTTAGGGATTCTCTATTTAAGTGGGATAACTGGAGGCATTGTAGAGTAGACCACAGGTCAAACTAGTCATAGGAGTTAAACAAGGAAGCCACTTTTTAACCACGTAGCTCTGAAATGTCAAGTTGCGATCGGGCCTTTGTCAGCACAGTGCACGGAGGCGGACTCCTCCTCCACTAACTTTGGCTTCAGGCAAACTCTACCCCTCTTTCTCACATGCTGATACACTGGTGAATCATGTTTCTGTTGAACAGTGTAAAGCGTTCTCCATGAATTTACTGTTTGTTAACATTTCTCTGTTGCTTCTGCAGCATAGTTTCTGTGATTTTTTAGCATTCAGCGTTGCAGACAGGGAATCGCACCTAAGTTGTCTCTTTGGTGGTGGCCTATAAACCCACCAGGCAGTTGGGGATTTGCCCTTCTTATGGCAGACAGTGTCTATTATGTGTCAAGTATCTTTCCCAGGGGAGAACTGGTCTGTTTGCCTTATCAAAGTTACAATCTGTCAAATAGTCAGCTCTTCCTTTGGCTTGTGCCTTTTTTTTTAACATCTATTTTTAGCCACTGCTTCCCTGTGCATCTTTCTCTGTTTCCAATCTACAAAATGTACAAGACTAGAATGTATCCACCACAAAATACAATGCATCTTACAGCCTTTGGCTTTACATTCTGCTTATTTAATTTGCTGGTTAGAAATTGTTTCGTTGATGTTGTGACCAGTGTGGCTTTTCTTTAAAGATGATATGATAACGTTTTTGTTTGTGGGTGTGTTTCTCTTTTCCTTTTTCCTCATTTTAATTTTTGCTCTCTTGGGGTCAGGGGCAGGGTGTTGAGTCACTTGGAGAGAGTGAAGTCATTCCCCTAAATGGAGAGATAATGGAGGTCACATACACTGTGAAAATATACTTTACATTTTTAAATGAACTACAATGATTCACTGTTTTTTAAAGAAGGTGTTGAGTGCTGCTTTGAAATTACTTTTTTAAATGACTTAGAGATGCTGAGGCAGGGGAATTTTGGACATTAGCAACAGATTATTAGAATGGAGGAAAGCATGGATGTGCGTAAGCAGGGTATGGGGGGGGGGGGTCAGCTGGCACTTGAAGATAGTACGGGGTAGTAACAAGAGTTGGTGTGACCATTTGCAGTCACATGACCGACCGGGCAAGCACTGTCACCTCGGTAACCAGGAGCGCCAGTGGCGCTTATCCAATCATATAAGGAATGCTGGCTGTCACTCGCCTCAGGCTATTTCTGCTGTCACTAGTGCTTGGTATTGCTAAGGGTTTGCTACACAGGGATCCTCCTTTAATTTTTTTTTGGTTTTCCCCCCTTCCCTTTCCTCTATTAACTTTTTTTTTCTCCGCCTCTCCTTTCAGTGCGTGGTGTTAAGTTGTCAGCTGTTTTCAGAGACTCTTATGTTTTCGTGGTGTGATCTCCTCTTTTCCCTCTACAGTTTAATGTAGAAAGGAAAATTGTGGAAGAGTCTCGGAGAGGGCTGGAAGGGAAGGGGTGGGGGGTTGTGGAAGAAAAAAGGGGATCAGTCATCCAGCCAGCCAAAGGAGAAGTGGGCGACTGGAGGAGAGGAGAACCAACAGGCAGTGGGAGAGAAAGTTAGAGGGAACAGGAGCTGTAGTACGCAAAGTGAAAAATGGCACAACGTCTGCGTTTGTACTTTGGCTCTGGCCGAAGCAACACAGCCCCGGAGATACTGGAGGGAGACGCCGAGGAGCTTCGGGAAAACGGAGGGGTGGTGCCGACGCTCGGCACGCGCCCTCCTGCCATGTCGAGGCCTTCTCAGGACTCTGCTGCGCAGCGCGTCCCATCAGCTGGATCTGGTCGTCACGCGGAGCCCTCGCTGAAACGCAGCTCCTCGATGTTCATACCCCAGCTCTCCACCTGTGCCGAGCCGCGGCCGACTAAGAGCTCGTCCATGCACATCTCGCTTCAGCGGGCCAACGGATCCAATAATGGAGATTGCGGTGGACACGCTCACGACGTCCCGCCGCCCTGCTACTCTCCTCCTGGACCCGCGCCTCCATACACTGAGCCCCAAACTCAAGCAGACTTTCCACGACAGCCGCCTCCGCCGTACAGCCCGTATTCTTTAAACCCCCAATCTCCTCTGACAGAGCCAAACCTTCCAAAACCCAGAGTCTTCAGCATCGGTTCCAGCGGCCGTACGAAATTCAGCCGGGGCAAAACCAGCGTCACTGTCGGGGCCATCTGTATCCAGAGGGATTCACCTGACAGCTCTGATATCCAGCATTTTAGGATTCTGCCCTACGGTGGCGCTGGCTGGTCGCCACAGCAGCAGAGACCGGAGCAGTCTTTTGGTGTTAACGATGCACATCAGAGACTCGTTTTTCAGCTTCACCAGAACCAGGACCAGAACCTGGGCCGACAGCAGGCTGCTGGATTCCAGGAAGAACATGGCAGCTCACGAGCTTTCCAGACAGTGCGCTACCCCAGAATTCAACTGCAGAGAAGCTCGTCTCATCAGAGCCTTCTGCGGGAAAATAAACATCCGAAAAACGGCGCAGACTTCCAGACTATAGACGAAGATCAAACAAATATTTCGTCGGAGGCAAAAAACAGATCCAATGGTTGTACTTTTAAGATCAGTGGGGAAACCCCGAGGGGGCAGCCACATTTCAAGATATACTTTACTCCGGGTGGAGGTGGAAATCAGGATGTTGGCCTTGGCAGTGACTCAACTGCAAATACACCCAAGGTAAAGATTATAAGAACAACAAATTGTCTGTGGCTGACTAATGAAAAGTTTGGCAAGGGAAAAAAAAGTTTTGAATGCGAATTGATAAATACTGAAGGAGACTTGTTTTTTATGACATATTTAGTGGAATGTATGATGGCTTGTTTGCTCTGTGGTTAAAGTAATAGGAAAAAAATGGCAGGAGGTTTCACATCTAATTTCGGAAGTGAATGAAAAAGGGGCAATGGGAATGCTAACACCCTGGGACGGGAAGAGGATAGACGTAGCTACAGAGCTGAATCACCCTCACACTGGGTTTCTTCAAAAGGCATTTGAAGGTTTACACACGTCTGCCCATTCGGCCAAGAAAGAAAAACAGCCATGTGGGTGAAAGGCAAATTCTTCTCCGTGCACTTGTTGCCTTCGGTTTTGCGGAAATGTGACACTTACTTTTTGATAATACCCCCAACTGCAGTCAGTGAGTTGGCCGGTTCTATCTTTAGTATGCCTCAAGCGTGTTTGTTGATTTTGAAAGCAGGCTGGCGGCCTCTCTTCTTTGGTTCTTGGCTGTTATGGATCTATATCCTAACAACTGCTCGGCAAGTGATTAAGAACTAAGATGTTATTACAGCCCAAGGAATGATCATGGAGTCTCACAAGCCTTAGTGAGGTCTCCTCTCAAGTGAAGCTCAAGCTAGGGAGGTAAACTGTTCTAAAAGTTGAAGCTTGTTATCATTGTGTCATGTTATATAATTCGGCTTCTCACAAGCTTTTTTTAATCACTTTATGTAATGGACTTTCCGGATGCTGGATATTCCACGGCAGGTTCTCTCAGTTTGGAATTGACATAATAAAATGTTATTTAAAACTGAAGCTGTAAGTACACTACATTAGATTAGAAATTGAAGTAATGAGGCTGTATTTCACTGGGTTAGTGTTGCTACCAGTAGATGGTCAAGAGGCGTGTGACTCCAGTAGGTGATGTTGAAAATGAGAGCTGAAAATATTTACTGCTTACATGTTAAAGCAGTATATTTCATCTGCTCTACAAGTGAAAAACTACTATTTACAGCCTGTTCGTCTTACATGGAGTAATTTAATATTTACACCATAATGACAGGTCTTACCCAACTATTGGTCTGGAGTCAAAGTGCCCACTTTTCGAGCATGTACATGCAATAACAAAAGTACACGTGTACATGTGTGTGTGTGGAAGACTGGCTAGCTGCAGACAGCTTTGCTGCAGAAGCATGGCCTTGTTACAGCCGTGCCTTGGCACCTCAGCCGCCACTCACAAAGAGCTCCTGTGGGCCACTCGGACAGCTATATTTACCTGAGGCAGGACTGTGGATGGATGGCTGGCTTAGGGTCCTCTTTTTTTATTTTGGTCCAGTGGCATGTAGAAGTGTCTCGGGTGACTGTTGTCGTGAGGGGCTTCTCTCGGTCTGCTCTGACCCATCTGAGGTGCATGCCATTGTAATTCAGTTGTGTCAGCATGGATACTGTTAAGTAGGTGAGACAACCTTTTGACACCTCAGAGCCAGTCTGGACTTGTGCCAGGTTGCCGTGTAACATAAATTCTGTTACCACCTCTATCTGTGGCTTCATGTCAGGCCTGATGTTTACATGACTCGAACTTATTTGAGTTTTACATTGAAGATACTGCTTTGTATGAATGATTCTAACCAAAATAATTGTTTTAAAACAAAACTGGATGCGAACAGGTAACTGGGGACCTGGTTAAAGCGACCTTTTGATATTTTATCTTTTATAATCTTGATATAAATATGCTGTTGCTTTGCTAGTTCAATCATCTCTCTTTGTTCCTCCCTCTTCCTGTTTTTCTTTTCTTTTTTTTTTAAATAGGAGATCCCCCCCTCTCCCTAGAGGCAGCTGCAAACTCAGATGTGACCCTTTAATGACTCTGTAATTTTATCTCTCTCCATAAGCATAACCACGGCCCAAAATGGTTCTTATGGTCAAGGATGTGAAAAACAGCCGTGTCTGCTGACATGTGCGTCCCGTCTGACACTGCCATTACTGAAACCGTCTTCATATGTGAGAAGCAGCAGGGCCCTTATTGTGTGTAAATGTTAGCATGGAGTTTCCAGATGAATTTTGCACACTTAGAGTGACTCATCAGTTCTGGGAAAAACGCACAGACAAATTGTTCTACATGAAAGGTTGAATAAGCTTTTTCAAAGCTTTTTGGCAATTTTAATTATCAGGCTGCAGATCAACACGTGAAAGAATGCAATATGATGCTGTTAACTCATGTTGCAGTCCAGGTTTCTTTTGTGGCTCTGTCCTACTTTTGAAGAAGGTTAGAACTGACTGTTTTGAATTACTTAGGAGTTATGTAAGCTGTAAATGAGTGGTTCAGTCGGTTTGGGAAATGAAAGCAGATGCTCCTGTAATTTTAGGCAATTTTCCGAGAAGAATCGGTTTACTAGGTGTGTCTATATAAATAGGGTTGCTGCTTTTTTACCTTAAAACAGATTGAAAATCTGTTATCAGGTCAGGCTAGAGGAACCTCATTTGATGTGTTTAACCTTTTGCCTGATTTTTACAGCTCTTCATTGTTGACTCAAAATTAGACAGCATGAACAAATATGATAAATTCACATTATTCATATTAACTGGAGAGAATGGCTTCCCCCAGCCTAAAGTTTACTTGTAAATAGTTTCCATGTTCTCATTTTCATGACTGTATTGGGGCAGTAGAGTAGTATTTACAGATGCCAAAACACTGAATCTTGTCTTATTTTGTACATTAAATCTTGAACACTATACAGTATCATTGTAAACAGTAAAGAAAAAGAAGATCACCATGGCATATGCATCATTGTTTGTTTTTTTTATTTACAAAGAGCCCCCCCCCCAAACAAAGTTTGGTTTTGACTGATTGGATACCCTTTTGTTCTCCCACAATTCAAAATCCCTCAAGCACTTTCTAGTCTGCAAAAGTACAATGCATTGTTTCATCCCAGCTTCTCTGCCAGATCACTTTCAGCCAGCAGACATCATTGTTAGTTTATTCCTGCAGTCTAAAAAAAAAATTGTGTCCCACACACAGGCTTCTTCCAAGAATGGGCTTTTCCATCTCGGACAGGTAATCATTGCTCAGTTGTGGACGAATCTGTGGGCCTCTTAAATCTGCACCTCAAGTCTTCCCTGGTTCTTCCCCTTTTTGTCACCTCTTTCCATTTTCTCCCGTTGTCAGTTCACCTGGCTTCTATTTGGTGGCAGCGGATGTTTTTCCTTGCTGGGCTCACAGGTTTTTCTCCTGCGAAATGACACCAAAGGCCTTTCCATAAATGAAAACCTCGACTGAGTCTTCTGTGTGGATGCCTGTGAAACTCTGTGCTAATTAATAGAGGACGTACTAGTGAAGTCATCTATTTAAAAAAGAAAGAAAGAAAAGAAAAACTACACAAGTTAATTTTGTATGAGATGATAACATTGCTCAAACACTGTTGCTATTATTGCCTTGAAACCTCATTCTTCAGACTTTCATAGGTGTCCATAAAAAAGGCTAAAGGTTATTTCTGAATGGTGCTGCACATGAAATCACAATCATTTCGTCTTTCTTTCTGTCTGTGACGAAAAAATTTAAGAAAAAAAAAACATGACATATTACTGGACTTTCTGGTGCACGAGGTAATTTATCTCAACATTGTGGTTTTCCCTTCTCTACCCTTGCTGGAAATTTTGGCTTTCAGTACACACACTCCAAAAAAAAAAAGAAAAGAGAGGAAAATGAAACCCTCATGGCTAAAGTTTTTGTTCTCATTCTTAGACCAGAGATGATTTCCTGGGGCAAGTTGATGTTCCTCTCAGTCATCTACCGGTAAGTTCTTTATGTCTGCGTAGACAAACTGTCCTAACCCTGTTTTGAATGCTCAGCTGTTTCTTATCCTTCAGTTTTGTTGTGCTTTCCTAACTTCCATGAAGGTCAGACGGAGCCTTTGTTTGTCTGCGCGCCTGTCTTTGGTGTGAGAAAGTGCTAGCCATACAAGAAGCCTTCTCCTGTGGTCCAACAGTATACGTCGTGTTGAAAACGGGAAAACAAGCTGTCTAGAATGTAAACACTGAATTTCCTGGGTGCAGGCAACCCTCAGAACCAGTGGAAAAAAAGCTGCTTTGTCAGATTCACACACTCACGTGCACGTGGACAGTGTGGAAAGCTGAGAAACGGCTTTTGAAAACAAGAAGCAAAGATTTGGACAGTTTGCACAAGCATGACGTAATAGGCAGTACCTGAGATGCAAACAAAGACATGATCAAATCATTTTGAAGCAAATTGGCTTTTGAGATGTGCTTTTGTGCTCCCAGCGTTGTTGCTGCTCTGAAGTGTAGTCCCAGTTGGCAGCCTTGAAAAACCCATTAAAAACAAGTTGGTGAGGTTAATTGTTAATTTTCTATTGGGATCCCAAAGGGTTACGAGAATTGTTACCAGATAAAAACTGCAGCTGAGTCACGTTTAGGGCTTAATGTAAAGGTGATTTTCTTATTTTAGCCATTAAATACCGAAGCTGAGTAAGAACGGGCTGCTCTCATCCCTGAATTCAGAGTTCTAGATGGCTTTTGTATTCAGTTAATTTCATGAATGACAATGCTTTGTTGGAAATGACCTATTTATAGTTACTTGACATTGCCTCTGTCATTACATCTCTCTCTGTAGTAGCTTCTCGTACATAGTCTCTGACTTCGCTTGAATCCGGACAGCAGTGCTGAGTCATCAGGAACAATGAGTCAGCAGAGGGCCACATTTAGTCACATTTACTCTTGGAAACTTTGAGCTGCTCTTCATGAGTGTATTTTCATATATGTTTCACAGAAATTCCCAGTTTTAGCAGTAGATCCTCACCAAAGCTGTAGGCCACTCTTTATGTTTGACATAGATTTTTACTCCAGAGGTTTCGTAAGCTCTCTTTCCTCTTAAACCTCATACCTAAACGTCATACTTAACGTCATACTTTTGACATGGAAACCGACCGTCTGGTTTATCAGACGGAGCGGTTTGTGGTGGACAGCCAGTGTGGACTGGTTTGGCCCAGTTAGAGAGCAGTGGGAGATAGCTTTGAATTACAAAAGGCCTTTCTGCTGTTCATGTAACTGGAGAACCTCAGCGTTGCATAATAAACCCGGGATGTTTTTGCTGGGTTCCGCAGTTGTGCTTTAAAAAGGTCAATTTTGCTCGTGTCCAACATGTTGTGCCCCTGTTCAAGTGTTCAATGTTTTCAACAAATGCCTCCTCTTAATTTACAGACAGAGGACCCCTCCATGGAGCGTCCATACACATTTAAAGACTTCCTGTTGCGGCCGAGAAGGTCTGTTTTTGACGGAGGGATGACAAACAGGATTTTTTCAGATAATTGGTATAAGGAGATGCCAGAGAGAGAGAGACTGACCTTAAATCATCTTCTGGCCATATCAGCAGACTCATTTGACTGTCAGTCAAATAGTTAAGAGGAAAACGGCATCAGTGAATTAAAGTCTGCTTGGTGATATGGGTGAGTTTACGTTTGAAGAATTTCAAACAGATGTTTTTCTTCCAGTCACAAATCCAGGGTGAAGGGTTACTTGCGTCTGAAGATGGCTTATTTGCCCAAACAAGGAGGACATGAGGAGGAGGCTGGAGAGATGAGGGAGGAGGCTGAGGTAAGGTCTCAGACACTATTGTTGTTAAGGCTGTTGAAACTGCTGACTTTTCATTACCTAAGCCTTTTAACAGTCTTTTCCATAATAACCTGAAGCCAGATCAGATTCTAGTTTTATTTGTGTCTACCACACAATAACAACCAACCTCTAAGTTAAAAGATTAAAGCAAAAGCCTCACTTTGGACCAATAGAAATGTCAGAGCACTCTTTACTGGGAGTGAGTGGAGAAAGGACAGCTCTTCTTTTTATTCTTTTCTGTGAACTTGGAAAGCTTCTTGCCGCCAGAGTCTGGTAAAAGTCTTTTCCAGGTCAGGGTCTGGAAAAACCATTTATAGTGTGGTCGGCTATTTGCAGAAGTAGAGGCTTTGCTTCCTTTGCTCTAATATTTGCGCTTGCATGTCTATTTGTGGGTTACACATTTAAGGATGGTGAAACGCTTCATAGATAAGGTAAAATTTAGCACACGAAGCATAAAAAAAGCTAAGATCCACTTGTCTGTCCTCTATTTAGTTAATCTCCACAATTAAATGTTTCTCTTTTCCTCCAGTTTTTTGAGAGAGAGCTGAGGTTAGAGATTTCCTGAAGCACGGACATTGTTGTGGTGTAGTGTAACTCAACTATGCTTGAAGAAAGCTGACTTTGTTATTGTGAGGTAGCCTGTTAGGTTGTGCTTTAGCCTGATGGTAGCTCATCAGACAAGAACACTGAGAAATGTCAACTGAAAGATTTCAAACCACTTCACAGCAATAAGAACATTTTATCTGCCACATCTTCAGTGTAATTTCAAACTTGGATCTCATTTAGAAAAATTGGATCCATTGGCAATATTAATTTGTGTCTGTGAAGTATTTTACCACAACTTGCTGCAGCCTAGTTGTCTTTTTATTGAGCAACCAGTGAGTCTGTCAAATGGTGTTGCGGGCTCTGTCTTTCAGGGTTGGGATGAGTCTGCAGACTCGGGTTCCCAGAGACCCCAGCAGCTGCTGCCCCCTTTGCCTCCTGGCTGGGAAGAAAAGGTTGACAACCTTGGGCGCACCTACTACGTCAACCACAACAATCGCTCTACACAGTGGAAACGGCCGTCCAACATGTACTGATACTGTCTCATCCTTTTTGTTTTAAGAAAGCCCGTTTGGTGCTAAACTTTGTTATTACCAAGTAATTCTGTTATTCAGGATTTTTCTGTCACTAATAGCTGTAGTCCTTTCATGTTCATCCACCTCTGCTGTTGTTACAGGCTGCATCTTGACTTTCCCTGTCATTTCTTCTTGTTTTTAAGGGATGTGATCTCTGAGATTGAGAGTGACAATCAACAGCGGCAAATCCATCAGGAAGCCCATCGCGTTTTCCGTGCGAGGCGCCATATCAGCGAGGACCTAGAGAATGAGCACCTGGAGCCCAGGGACATAGACAATGTGAGAGAAGGGCAAAGCAGCCCTAACCAGGTTACAGACGCTGAGCCCCAGCTTTCCTAAGTGATAAGGTCACCAAAGCATGCCCGTGTCGCCTCTTTTTTCCTGTAGTCCTGGGAGCTGATCACTGAAGAGGATCCCAATGACAGCTTGGCCCAGTCTCTGCCCGGTCCCTCCTCTGTTTTGACACCGCTGCACCCGCCAACACCTGTCACTCAGGAGTTGTCTGAGGATTTAAATTTGAGGCTGTCCATCACTCCTGATACCAACGGCGACCTGCCAGGACCTAGCTCAGCTATGGTTAGAGATGAACACCGTCATGCCCTGAAATCGCAAATGTTGGCGGTCCGATTTATTAATTGATTAAAAAAAAATAATTATTTTTTTTAAATGTCCCCCTCTTTTCTTTGAATAGAGCCAGCTGTCTAACAGACTCCGTTCTTCAAGTATGACAGATGGCGTCAGTGATCAAGCCCAGGCTCCACCTCTCATGGTACATATATCTGAACCCTTGAGTTTCCTACATCCCATTTACTTTTTTCCCACAATTCGTTGTGACCTAAACAGGTCGATGTTTAAGGTAACTCCCATCTGTTAACATACCTGTGTTCTCTGGGCATACCACACCTCCTTTCACTTTATGTGCCTGTTGCATGTCAAAATTCCACCTATCCACACTGGGCAGACGTGGCTTTCTCACCACCTTTTCGTCCTTTTCTCCTGAGATTGGTAATCTTTGTTCTGCTTACTATGCTTTTTTTGTGATTCACCTGCCATTATATTCTATGAATATGGAGTTGTTGACTCTACAGCAATTAGAATGAGCAATTTGGTAAGAAACCCTGGACAAGGAGTTAAATGCTCAAGACTGTACCTCATAAGTTAAAACAGTCAGGCATCACTGGAGATTCAGCTCAACAAACATCAGCTGTTGCATAGCTGATGAGCTTGGTCAAGTCAAAATAAATGCACTGGTGTATACGGATCTATCTTGAATTCTTACTTCATCAGGTCTTAAGTAATGGTCATTTAATTGACTTTAATAACAATAACGTAATTCCTTGTTGTTTTGTTGACATTGTATCCAATAGTTTCTCCAAAAGAATTCCATCTTCATTCACAAGTGTTCATCACCATTTCATTTTTCAGTGTTCATTGATTAATGTTATTAATTGTTAAAACGACTCATCCAGCCGTTTTTATCCCCGTCCATAATCGGTGTTTCTTTAGGGTCTACATTGTGAGAACTGTTTCCACAAGCAAGGCTTTGTGGCTACTTTAAATGTGTCCGCTAAAACGATGGGAAACACAAAGTCGTTTGTTCTTTTGTGTGTGTTGTAGTCTTTTCTGGTCTATGTTGTTGCAGTTGGGTCTCCTGCGTATGCAGGAATGACTGCATGGAATTCCCTGTTGTACAGTGTGAGCAAACCTCTGGGTTTCCCTCTGCTTTCTGAACTTTCTTTCACAGCCAAAGACATTAATTGATCACAGCTAAATACGGCAGCGAGTTCTTCACTGTCCAAGTCAAGTTTCTGCTTTAGTTTTATTTGTTTTGATCTGTGATTTGTCTCTGTCGTGAACCTATATTTCATTTGCACCTCGACTTGTAATCTTTATTAAATTTACGGTAGAAATCACAGTCGAGGTCATTCATACAGCAAAATTGCACATACTGCAGTTAAAGTTCTTTTCACATCGCCAAGTGTTTTCAGGTTATATGACGCACCAAAGAGCATCTGTGTGAAACAGATATTCTTGTTCTAATTGCTCCTTCTGGATTTCCTGGATATAACTGTGCTCTTTTGTTTTCTTGATCTACTTTTTTAGGCGACTAATTCTACCATCGAACCATCTTTTTTTGTTTTGTCAGGACTTAAAAATAGGTTTCTATCTTTAATCTAGCACCTCTTGAACACAACTGTATGCCATGAATTGCAATTTTCCTCTCGTACATAATCAAAGGCACTACATTGGCTTGTGATTACACATCCAGGGAAAAGAATGCGTCCTCCCTTCGGGCTGGTAGATACAAGGCTGATGGTTATTCAGAGTTATTATATATATTTTTATTTTCCAAGAGCTTTAATAGAATTGTTTCCTGCAAATCAAAGTAACCAACAGGACAGATTAGAGTCCTCTGTCTTTCAAGTTCGCAGCTGCTGCACTTTCCCACCAGTGCCCATTATGAAAAGAATCTCCTCTCTTTCTGCCAATCCACATTTCCTTTGAGAATGAATTTCCCTCCTCTATTCACTTTTTCCTCACTCAACCCTCACTACTGCCCAAATACTCGCCCTCTTCTCTTCATCTCTGGCTATGAAAACATTACATACTGTGAACTAAAGACCATGTTCCCCTGTTGTCTACCACCAGCAGAGTTCCCAGACCAGAAGAACAAGAGCTCAAACAGTCTCAGGTGGTGAGGAGTCAATGGTAATATCTGTTTCCTTTTAGTATAAACCCTCTTATAAATGTCTTATTCCCCTCTATGTAGGATGAGCTGTGTCTTCTGAATATGTCTGCGAGCAGCTTCCATTAAAAGCTGATCCCATGGGGTGTGAAATATCACAACATACCATTTCTCTACGATGTGTTGTTGACGTTTGTGCAGTTATAGCACATGTGTTTCCTTTAAAAGAGCCGAATAACCTCTCCCTTCTTTAGTTTCCCAGTTGCTCAGATTACAGTGTGCTGACATGCTTGGATAGAGTAGCCGTTGTTGTTGTATACAGTGGTACACCAGCTTCTTAATGTGTGAGCGTTTGTGCTGTTTTGTAATCACGGACGGTTGACCTTGTTATGAAAAATGAGTCGTGACAATGTGATCAGCCCGTGTTGACTGTGTTTTCCTGAACCTGAGAAAGAGGATGTCTTCAGTACACACTGTTTATTGTGTATTTTGCATAGACAGACCCAAAGTAGCAGCAGTTTTTGTTGTGATCATTCGGTTGACATTGTTGGAAATGATTTATACTGGTAACGGTAATCGTTTATACTTTGGTAAGCCAAGTAGTAATGATTTGCTACTTTTCCACATGGGGTATTTATTTTAGTATCTTCTGTGCTTCATTGTGTTTTTGTTTGTAAAGATTGACCTCAAATGCAGTCACCTGCATTAGTTTTTTTTTACTCCCCAAGTATAAATCGTATTTTGTCATCCTTGAATTGCTTTCAATAACCAAAAAGCTAAACTGTGAAAGGAAAAAGGGTTGTTTTCCCTGTGGACGATTTAAAAAAACCCCCCTCTTAACTTGATAAATATAAAGCACACATATTTTTCCTTCTTTCCCTGCGGCATCCATTAAGTATATTAAACTTTCCCTCCACGAGTCTTTCAGCGTATTGGCATGTATTGATTTAGTTGTCTTTACTTTGCTTTCTTTCCACACTTGGCCAGTCTCCCTCGGCAGCTGCTTACACCTTGACCACCCCTGGCTTGCCCCCTGGATGGGAGGAGAGGAAGGATGCCAAGGGAAGAACTTATTACGTCAACCATAACAACCGCACCACTACTTGGACTAGGCCAATTGTGCAGGTACAGCAGGTGTGAGGGTTGGCTGCCAGGCTGGCTCTGTGCATGGGACTGGACGTTATCTTGGTTCCTGTCGTGGCGTTGGCCTGTGTGTCGGAACTCTTATCCCCCTCTTATTCCCTCCTGTGTTTCTCCTTTGTGTAGCCTTGGAGAAGGACGGAAAGAGGTTTCACAGCTTTGAAACCTCAATCTCTCTTTCTGTCTTTCCTTCTGTTTACCTTCCCGATATTTCTCAACTTAATCGTTTTGTCTTCCTTCTCTTGTCCAGCATTTTTGATTGATTCTATCATTATTTCGAAGTGCATCTCCGTACTGGTCACGCCTCTCTAAGCCTTGGCATGGATTTGTAACAACCACTCTTCCTTCCTTTTACCCACTTCGACTCTGTTTTTCCCCCTGTCTCCACTTGTCTCTCTGTCTGCAAAGAGGCAGCTCCACGTAGACCGAGCTCACAGCGAGGCATCTACATGGGACAGAGAGTGTATTTTAATGCTCACGTCTCTCTTCTATAAAATTCGCCTCTTCGTTTCCTTTAACAGTGTTGTGTTACTATGTTATACCTATTCCTCATCACATTGTCTTCTCATGCTCTGACTGTTGTGATTTTTGTTGTTGTTGTCATAATCCACTGAAGATGTGGATTAAACTGTATTTACCACTTGAATGGTAAGACTTTTGAAGAGCAGTTGGGTTTTTAAAAGTCAAAGCATTCCTCTTTTCACGGGCCTAGACGACCCTTGCCTCTGAGGTTTTAGGAACTCATTTCCTGAGAGAAAATCTGGCACCCAGATAACTCCGATGCAGATCTCTGACAGGGTGGCTCAGCTGAGATGGAGCTTTATTTTCGCACAGCACATCACCTGCTTAATTCCCCACCCCACTTAACCTCAAAAGTGCTGTTCTCACTGACAGCTGACTGAAGACGGAGCCGGCACCTCAGCAGCAGCAGCAGCTTCAGCAGGATCCCCAGCCCCTGCTTCTACCCCTTCCTCCTCCTCCAATGCCTCCAACAACCAACTCCATGAGCCCCAAGTCCGACGACCTCGTAGCCTCAGCTCCCCCACTGTGACCCTTTCCGCCCCCTTGGAGGTGAGAATTAGACCCCTTAACCATCCCATTTCTTGTTACCCTCCTTTTCCCATTTCCACCTCCTGCGGGCTCCATGTTTCTGTCCCCTTTCACTCCCAGGGTTTTCCCGCCTCCTCTTGTCTTTTCATGGAACCAGTGATGACCAAACTGAGATCTTGGCAACACTCTGTTTTCATTCCCTTAATTTGAATCACTCATTTGATTTGTTAAAGGCTGCTTTTTTCTTTTCCCGTCTTTGCAAACCATAGGTGCAAATTTTACCATGTGACTTATAATTTCTTTGCCACTTTTATCTGGATCTCTGCATTAATTCAGTTTTTTTCGTCTTGCTGTTTCTCCATTATTTAGAACTAAGTAATGAGCTGTAACTGCCACCAACAGGGTAGTTTTTACTGGCAGATCTTCCTTTTTTCACAAGATGACTATTGGCCAGTGGTTTCATTTTATTGTTGTATGGATGCTTTTATCAGCTTTTTTGTTTTTTGTTTTTTTTGTTTAAGTAATGGTGAGAATTTTGCAAGTTCTACAGAAACTAAAATGGAAGTTGGGGTTTCATAGCTAAACTGCATTTACTTGTTTGTTAAAGGGTCTGTTTAAATTGCATGTTCATGTGAAACCTTTTCCCACTGGTTAAAGAGTGTTAATAATCATACAGCACGAGTAGTTAACGTGTGAACAACATTCTCCAGGTAAACTATTGAGATTTCACCTTGTTTTTTCAACCTTTCCGAGACTTTCAGATTATGCATAACAACTTTGAACACATAAGTTCTTCTTACTGCTTATCCAAAACTTTATATTGTGCACTGTTGCCATAGATATAGCACAAACCTGAACTCATTAGGACTAACAAATTGTTTCTAAAAATAGACGGTCTCTTTTTGACCTTCCGCTGTTTTAATGGCTCTGCTTGGTGGTGAGGATCCTTTGCTGCTACCCAGGGAACGGACCTGAAGGTTTAATTAAAATGTGTTGGAGTCTGTATGTGGTAATAAGGCAATGTGGAAGTAAGACAAAATGAAAAATGGAATGGTGTAATTACAGCAGCCATAGCTGTAACAGAGGTGGGAAGTCTGATTAATTAATACGGACTTTCCTCCTGTTAAAAATGAGATCACTCTGTGATAATTAGTACTTTTAAAAAAAATGATACAGTAACACTTTATAGTGAAGACAAATTATATTTGATTGTGCAGGTGGATTTGGAAACTCTTTAGATGGAGACATTGAGAGGTTTTCCTATATATAAATTATTCCTGCTGTGTTTGATTTTTTTCAATTCTGCTTTGACCAAAGATTCATGTTAAGTCAAATGTGTTAATTTAGTTCTTATAGATTTTCAGGAAATACAAATGCTATTTGAAAAAGCCACAAAGACGAGACAAGATTATCAAGAAAGTCAGTCAAAGCCATCAGCTATACCTTTTACATTAGGGCATGTCCTATCTATTGTCAAAAGAGTAGCAATGTTTTTTTTATCAAACTGTCAGCCATCCATGTACTCTGTCAACAGAAGTTCTAAACTCTGAAGTTAGTCGAATGTGAGTTATATATATATTTTTTCCATTTCGTTTCTTCCCCTTGTTCTCAGGGAGCCAACAACATCCAGGTGCGGAGGGCTGTGAAAGACACTCTCTCCAATCCGCAGTCTCCCCAGCTGTCCCCCTACAGTTCCCCCAAATCGCAGCACAAGACACAGCAGAGCTTCCTGCCTCCCGGCTGGGAGATGAGGATAGCCCCAAATGGCCGGCCATTTTTCATCGACCACAACAGCAGAACCACCACCTGGGTGAGTAAACATGCTGTGGCAGGAGGCTGGCTATTTTTAGATTGAACTTGAGGACTCCATTTTTAGAAAAGATTTGTTCAATACAAACTGTGTTTCTGCCTTAATATGTGATTATGGGAAATTATTTGAATTTCAAAGACATCTCAAGATATTACTCAGATTAGTGGGCGGTTTTTCCGGAATCTTACAGTGACACCTGGTGGTGTTTAAATGAAACTTTCTTGTTTATTAAGGTTTTAGATCTACTGACAAATGATTTTGCATTATAATCAACAGTTTCTATGAAAAATGTGTAACTTTTTGTTCAACCGATTAGTTTAAGTCTTTTTTTTTCTTTACTTTTCACTGTCTCTTCTCTTTGGGCACACACAGGAGGATCCCAGGTTGAAATACCCAGTCCATATGAGGAATAAGAACTCTATGGAGCCTGGTGACCTTGGTCCTCTTCCGGTAAGTACAGACACAGACAAATGTTATTCTTTTGACTCCAGTTTCCAAATAATTGCTTTGCTTTGTTATGATTTCCAGTATGTATTTTTAGGTTTTGTGGGAGGTACATTTGTGTCGTTAAAATATGAACGAGTAACAGTAATTATTTACTGTGATGCTCCTCCAGTGATTTAAATATTTTAGTTGTGATTTTTAACAGGTGTTCAAGTAAGCTTGAATCCATTTATGTTCGGATTTGCTTTTGAATTAAGCATTTCCATGCTTTCATCACTGGAAACATTTTTCCAGTGAGATTAGAGAAAATCAAACCGAAATGTGGCTGTTCCTTAAGTCCTGTAACAGAATAAGGAAATGTAGCTGGTGGGGAGTAGCTGGTGGGGAGTTAAGGCTGTGGTGAAATTTTACTGAAATGTCAATCCTGATTTACTGTTTTATGTAAAATACATTTTGAGCCCACTTGTAAACAGTGAATCTGACTTGATAAGCAATGCTGCAGGCTTATGTTACAAAATGCTAAATTGGCACATGGCATACATCAGAGAGGATATTTTCTGTGAAAGAAAATCTGTAAAATATGGGTGTACCTGGGTTGCTCACAGTGCTTGACCTTTGGGCAGTTCGCTGCCTGTTCTGCTCTTTGTGGTTTTCAAAGCTCTGCTGATCTGCGTTTGGGCCCAAACAGCAAAATGGTTGCACGTGGCTCTCTGACATTTACTTCATTTCTGTGTTTCTGTAATTCTTAAAAACGTTTTTAAACATTACCTGGTGCCTCCTAGGGCTGCCCTTATACAACACCAGCAAGGCATAAAGACTCAGCTGCATCTGATGGTGTCATTGTATATTCTCACAACTGCACAGGTCTCATGAGTCCTGTGCACAATCAAATAGAAAATGAAAAAAATACTAAAGCATAGATCATATTTGCTACTTGACAAAGATAAATCCATACAAATAAGCTAAACATTACTCAAGCTTAATGTTTAATTATCTAAACTTAATTGGTTTGTGCATCTCACATGCTTGTGTGGTGTGTGCATGTGTTCTCTTTCTCTCTCCTCCCTTCTCTTTTCTCTTCATTCTGATGGATCTTTTGTATGATACTTCTTCTCCACCTGGCCATGTTTGTTTGGCAGAACGTACCAGAGGAGGTTGGTCTGTGCCTCCCTCCCTCTGCCTGCCTTCTTACCTGTCTGATCCAGTCTGGTCTGGTCAAATGCCTGCAGACAGCCTTGCGTTTTCCTTTGTTTTCCTTTTTTTTTTCCTTGCGCACTCTCTGTTTTTTTCTCCTTCTTTCTCATGACCAGCATGGATGGATTGTACCTTTATTGTACCTTTTGCCTACTCTGTCTTTTTTGCCCCACTTCCTCTCTCTGTCAGCGTCTTCCGTGCACCACCACCTCCCATCTGGCAGTGATTGATTTTTTGGGGATTTTTTTTGGAGCTCCCCCACCATTCTCTTGGGAATCATCAGACTGTTTCATGTCTATGAACTTGCACAGTTAGACCAGCATGAAAAATGTAACAAGGCAAGATGTTCTGGGCATTTTTAAGAGAGGGAGACTGAGAAATGAGGACTTATTGAGGAAATGGAGCTGCTTAATGGGTAGAAGGGGAGTGAAAAGAGGGGGGAGGCTTCCAAAGAAGCAAAAAGAAGCATAGATGTATATCAGAGGAAGGAACTGGCTGTTCGCTGCATGTGTTATCAGCTTTACAGTCTGGTCTTCACTCATGCAGCAGCAGCTTTGTAAGAATATCACGCTCTGTTCCTTTCTCCGCCTTTTTTTACTCTTAATCCACTCTAAATGATCTCATTGCTTGATTGCTGGTGCCGTATGAGTGTGAATGGCCCGGACACTGTGGTGAGTGGTCACCGTGTCATCAGTGGTGTTCGGGTTTGAACCAGTGGTGGTGTTGTGGTTGTGGTCCTTGCCTTGCTGATGTGTCGGACCTGACTCAAATAGGACCGTAAATCCTTTCATTTCCTTTGCGGGGTTTGATTGAGCTTGTCCTGCCTGAAGTACTGGGGTGTCAGTGTGTGACCATTTCATGGTCAGTCAAGTTCAATTGAACAAATTTTAAAAAAGGAAAAATAAATGGATGGATTTTAATTACTATTTGAGCATGCCCTGGTTAACTGTGCTTTCTAATACTTTCCTCACATTTCCTGTCATTTGCTTGTATTTCAGCCGGGGTGGGAAGAAAGGGTTCACACGGATGGCCGCACCTTCTACATTGACCACAGTAAGATGGCTTTCTTCATTTTTAATCTATTTCAAGCATCCCTTTAATTAATCGCCACCGATTGATTTATATATATAATAAAAATGAGCGCCAAAATATTTGATTCTTCTGACTTTTGTTCAACTTATCAAGTCTGAAATCAGACGATAGTAACGATAACTCTTTGTATTTGATCCAGACACTAAGACCACACAGTGGGAGGACCCTCGTCTACAAAGTCCAGCTATCACAGGACCTGTGAGTGGCGTGCTCATGCCTTACTAAGTGCCTCTCCATGCTTTGGTGTAGTTTTATCTAGCACACACTGTTCTCACCTTTGCACAGCAGAGAGTTCTCTTTGTAGCTACAGTTGGAACGTTGCATGCTTCATGTTATTGTGTTTTTTTTTTGTATGCTAAAAAGCAATTGTTACGCATTTCCTTTTCTGTAAATGCTCTCAACATCTGACCTGAATTAGGTTGCTAGAGTTTTTAACAGTTTCTCTCCTCATGTATGTCGTCACCTGTGCAGGCTGTTCCTTACTCCAGAGAGTTCAAGCAGAAATACGACTACTTCAGGAAAAAGTTAAAGAAACCGGTAAGAAGTCATTATGCTCATGCAGTCACTTTTTTTAACAACTCTAAAGCTTATTACAGCCAAAATTAAATTTCCTCTCACAAGAAGTTGCTCTGTTTTGATTCGTGGATGCTTCCCTAATCTATGTATCATTTGTATTTATTAGAGTCATTTCATAGTCTTGTGAAATTGGATGTTTTTTTAAATCTTTTTTTTCCCTAAATGTTGGTTTTATTGCTGGTATTTAGTCTAGGCTGAATAATAAAGAAAGCAAATTCTGCTGAGATTAATATGCATTACCATCTGCTTCTTGTGACTGACTCCAGGCTGACATCCCCAACCGATTTGAAATGAAGCTCCACAGGAATAACATCTTTGAAGAGTCCTACCGTCGAATCATGTCTGTAAAAAGGCCAGATGTTTTGAAGGCACGGCTATGGATTGAGTTTGAATCGGAGAAAGGATTGGACTACGGCGGCGTGGCCAGAGAGTGGTTCTTCCTCTTATCTAAGGAGATGTTTAACCCCTACTATGGCCTGTTCGAGTACTCTGCCACGTAAGATTCGACTTTGTTTTTCCGCTTGCTTTAAACTTACAAGAGAGAACCTTAATCCCTGGAGACATTTAACAGGATATGATGCTGAACACAGGACAAAGTCTTACTACAAAGCCAAAGCAGCAAAAGGGACATCCTTCTCTGCTCATGTATTTAGTTGGCTTTGTTAGCAAAGCGTATTAAGAAGCATTTCTGCTGGGTTGTTTCCTCGTGAGACTTAAAGATTTCCTTTAACTTTGATTAGCTTTTCCTCTTATTCAAGCGGCCATCCTGAACCAAACCTTTCCCACATTCACAGTAATGAAAGTGTCATTTGTTCTGTTCCTTTTCTCAGTACCTTCGTCAATACATGTCTCAGTCAATGCCCCACAAGTGCGGTTGAGAAACAAAGGTGGAAGAATTTGGACTGATCAATAAAAACTTCTGTCCTTTTTAATAAAACCATTCATGCTGTTTATTACAATGATACAATAATCATTATCAATAATCGTTATTATTTTATGAATGAAAAAAGTTTTTTCATTCGATTTATGTGTTTTATTTTTTCTCCCATAAGGCGAAATGATGAAGAGAAACTCAAAAATTGAGCACAAACTTCGGGAAATAAGCTACAAATCACAGCAGCTCAGAAATATTGGTTTTACCCTCTGTGAGGTGTCTGGTTTAGGACACAGTGCGTTGACTTAGCCAGATATGATACTTCACTGACCTTCTGTAACCAAAGAGAAATGAAGACAACGTCCAACAGTCACAAGTCATTGGTGTGTTTCTATGATCTGATTATAAAATAAATGGGAAATGAAATGTTGCTGGCATGTGTCTGTTCAGGGACAACTACACTCTTCAAATCAATCCCAACTCTGGACTGTGTAATGAGGATCACCTCTCCTATTTCAAATTCATCGGGCGTGTGGCAGGAATGGCCGTGTATCATGGAAAACTGCTGGATGGTAAGTGGCTTAAAACTGAAGTTCCGTATAATGTCCTGTTGGCAAAGTCAGCAGCCGCATTCTCGTAGAACTTATTGAAAGCCACAATATTTCCATGCTTTCCTCTATTTTGTAGGTTTTTTCATCCGACCATTCTACAAGATGATGCTGGGAAAACAGATTTCTCTTAAGGACATGGAATCTGTGGTATGGTCTCATTCTTGCTAATTTATCTATTTATTTAACCCTTGAGTTTTACTCAAGCAGGTGATGAGTTATTTAATTGGACTGACATCCTAGAAGGAAGTCCTTTCGGCTGAGAAAAGGGTTAAGTTTTGTGTGTGTATGTATGTGTGTCTCACTCTGCAGGACAGTGAATACTACAACTCTCTTAAGTGGATTCTGGAGAATGACCCCACTGAGCTGGACCTCAGGTTTTGTATTGATGAGGACAACTTTGGACAGGTGCGCATGGCTCAAATCTCAGATTTTTGTTTATTTTAACTTGAGCTGTATCCTGGCCTTCAACTTAATCCCCTCCCCTCCCCTCAGACATACCAGGTAGATCTGAAGCCCAGTGGTTCCGACATGGTGGTCACCAACGAGAACAAGCAGGAATACATAGAGTAAGTTTGTTTATTCTTTGCATTTACAGATGGTTGGTTAAAGGTGTTAACGTTTCCTCTCTCTCTTTTTTTTTGATAAACTCATCTCAATGTATTGCTCTCTTGTCAGCCTGGTCATACAGTGGAGGTTTGTCAATCGGGTCCAGAAGCAAATGAACGCCTTCTTGGAGGTATTTTTGTGCTGTAATTATAGTAGCCACTTGTGGGCAGTGTAACTACGTATTTAGTGTTTGCATGAGGCAGCATCAGTTCTTTTTTTTAGACTGAACTACAATGTATTGATAATGTGTTTCATTAACTTCTTCTTTAATACACCGTGTACTGTTTTGCATTGTTTTTAAAATTACTATTCATAAGGTGACACAATGGATTATGTTTCAATTCCAGGGCTTCACTGAGCTCATTCTCATAGATCTAATCAAGATCTTTGATGAAAACGAACTTGAGGTATGTAAATGTTAGTGGTTGAAACTATTTCAGTATTTAAAATGGTCCAGTCTATAGAAGCTTTTTACTTTTTATTTTTTATTTTAAAAGAAAAAAAAAAAGTCAACTAAATATCCTTGGGTTTTGGAAAGTAATCAGAGTAGAAGTGTTACAGAATACATATGAAAAAAAATGAAATGGCGTGTGTTCCTGACTGTAAATACATTATTTTTCTTCTGCTTCCACGCAGCTGCTCATGTGCGGACTAGGTGATGTCGACGTCAACGACTGGAGACAACACACTGTTTACAAGAACGGCTACTGTCCCAACCACCCGGTTATCCAGTGGTTCTGGAAGGTCTGTATCAGACCAACATGGAATCACATCTACAATCAGCAGAAGCATGCAAACAACATTTTACAATGCCGTTTCCAGTTTTATACCAGAAAGAGTTTCAGTTTTAGTCCCGGAGTTTATTTTACAATTTAAACTCTAACTGAGGAAACCGGTCGTGAGTTTTTGGTAACAAATGGATGTTATACTTCTTTCGTATTTGTTATTTAATTCAGATTTCCTATAGTTTTCACTGGTGCTGTCTTTTCATCAGTGCACTGATAGTAAGCTGAATTCTTCCTTTTATTTCTCAACCATACAGACACAGACACCAAAAATAACTTATATATGAATATACATATATAGTTTTAATATAAATACAAAAATATGTAGAGTTTAGATACTTTGTATATTTGCTTTTTTATATTTTCTCGTAATGTCCCATCATCTTCAGAAAGTTAGAGGTCTTTTTTTTGTTTTATTAACATGACATGTTCTAGTCATGCCTCCGTCCATCCGAACTGTGACATGCTGACGAGCCTCACTTTTGAAGATCAAAGTCTATTTGGAAGAACAAGCTTGTTTGCTGTGATGAAAGAGTAAAACCTGCCCCGATTAGTATCTTTGCTTGAGTGTCAAACACATACACTCATCATACCGACATTCAGTCAAGTACAGTTCTGTTTGAATTGGTTCTTTAAATTTTTAGAAGTGGAGTTTTTTTTGCACTGCAAAGTTGACCCTACAGAACGTCCAACTGTGTTCTTTAGTTAGAACTAAAACCGTCTAGATGCAGACTCGCCCATGTGTCTTCACTCCCGCAGTCCTAAAGTCGTCCCAAAAACGCAGAATGTTCTGTACATTCATGTTATTGCTGACTTTATAACGTAACTTTAGGCTTTTATTTACTGATGGGGATTTTGTTTTTGTAAAAATTTGTTTCATTAAATGTTCCTTTTTCTGTTTTTAGGTCGTTCTGTTTATGGATGCCGAGAAGAGAATCCGACTTCTCCAATTTGTTACCGGAACATCACGAGTGCCCATGAATGGCTTTGCTGAGCTTTATGGTATCATAATCATCATAATAATCCCCTATTGAACATATTTTCTGCAAGGATGTATTATGTTATTGTTTTCTTATTATTCTGCTTACATGGGGAGACCCAGCTTGGGGTCCTTCGGCCACACTCCCTTTTTTGGAAAAAGAAAAAGAAAAGAGTCCTCAATTACTTGTTTTCCTTTATTTTCAGGCTCTAATGGTCCTCAGCTTTTCACAATCGAGCAGTGGGGAACTCCAGATAAGTTGCCTAGAGCCCACACATGGTATGCCACTCAGACCTGCCCAACACGGCGAGGCTGAAAGTCGAGCTGGCTGCTGTTGTTGTGTTTGTTGTTGTTTCTGAGGTCAGTTCATGTCCCGCTTTTCTCCCCAGTTTCAACCGCCTCGATCTTCCCGCCTACGAATCATTCGAGGACCTGAGGGAGAAACTCCTGATGGCCGTGGAGAATGCTCAGGGGTTCGAGGGGGTCGACTAAAACGGCAGCCTCTAACCGCGTTCAGCTATGAAGTTAAAGGAAAGGCCACGGGGACATCAAAGCAGCTGCTGTAGCAGTTCTGTGCAAGCATGTTGTACTGTAACGCCTGACAATGAGCCACCCTCACAGCACGGTGGTCTGAGACTGTACAGCGACTTTTCGAGCCAATATGCCTACGTCTTTATATCTCTTCAGTGTGGTTAGGTCACTCCTTTGAGGTGCTGGGGTAAAAAAAAAAAAAAAAAAGGAGGGTTGCACTGAATAAATGCTGAAATCTTTTAACCACAGGCATGAGCGATGAAGACAGGAGTTGAGCCCTGTTCTTACATTTCTTTCCCCTCGGCACTCCTGTTGTGAAAATCTACAGTGCTGGAAAACACTAATGCATTTCAATAGGTCCTGTATGTGCACCGTATTCGAGCACCCTCCACGGGAGGGGAATTAGCATGGCCTTAACTGGCTCCTACATGCACTATTTCTCTCTTAGAAACAGCAATGGCGCTATCATCAGAACTCTTTCAAATCTTTAGACCAACACCAGATTACCTTAGGAATGCTAGCCAATCACATTTCAGGAAATCGGCCACACTCCTCCGTAGAGCCTTGTCCGTGTCGTGTGATCAGAAATTGCCGCTGCAGCCTTTGAAGTAATTTTCTTTTTGAAATTTTTGCCAGTGATAAAGATTAAGTCATGGGGAATAAAAAAATCCCCAAATATCCATTTCTTTTCCTTTTTTTTCTTTTTTTAAACAAAAATATAATTTGTTGTCCTAGAACATATTTTCTTTTACTAATAATTTGTATAACCTGCAGGAAAGTACTGACTGTATTTGTACCGATGAGCAGCATTCTTTACTGTTTTGACAACTATATATGACATGTGAAGTACAAATCTGGCTTGTCTGGGAAATGATTTATGCATATCATGTGTTATGGTGATAGCAAATGTGTTGACTACAGTGGTTTTTATTGTAGTGCTTTAAAAGCAGCATGGAACTATATCTTGTGTTTGCTTGGACTACATACTAATTGGAAGTGTAATTGGGCCCTGAGGTTGTGAAGGGAAAGTAAAACTGAGGATAGTTTCTCTGATTACATTGTTATTCTCATGCCTGTTGCTGTTCATAATGCTGTAAATTGTTCTTTGGAGGGGAGGCATTTGCATTTTAAGTTCTTTCATGATATATAAATATATGTATGTATTACATTTAACAGAAGTATTACTGATCGACACTAAAATGAAGCTGTATGTGTGTGTGTTTGAGAGGAAAGCTGTGATGTGTGCCACAGAATATAAAGCAGCACGTTTCTTACAAAGAGAAAATTGCGTTCTTTTTTTAAATGTTCTTTCTCTCCTTTTTCTAACACCATTGAACCTAAAGGGCACTTTAATAGATCATCATGTCGCCTGATGTTTGTCTTGTCATTTACTTGAATGTGATTCTTTATTTTTTCCATTCAGCACTTACTTGGTGCAATATGAATAGTCTGTAAATCTGGGCTGCTGCTAAGATTGAAAAAGAAGTTGAAGAAGAAGAAGTTGAAACTTCATGTCCTTTAGTTTACTCGGTTTCAACTCTTTTGACCTCTTTCTCTGTATTTATCTCCCTTGTGTCTCTTATCCTTTGTGATCTCACCATTTTACTGAACTCTGCAGATTAGTCTTTATTTTTTAGCAGGTTTTCTTCTTTCTTTCTTTTTTTTTTTTAATGAATGAACAGAGATATGACTTTTGTTAACAATTCCACTTCTTTCTGCAAGTCTTTGTGGTTCATTTCAGTTAAATAAAATTAAACTTCTCAGACTGTGTTGTTTTAGTGAATTTAGGCCTGCCTTTCTCATGTGCAAATCTGGAATAGTTGAAATTTCAATCAGACCCGTACTTAAACAGATTTTTTTTCAACGCACAGGAATGTCAGTTTTAACCTGCGTGACACCCACATATTACTCATTCCAACATTTATTTTCTACAATAAACCAATCTTACTTCACCCTCCAAGGTCTTTCTAATGTGTTTACTGGGAAATAGAGATTTTTGTAAACAATGTTGTAAAGTTTATGTTGTTTAAATTTCCTTTGCAACTTTCTTTTGCCATCCAAAATATAGCTGATTTCTTCCATCTGAAAAAATATGTAGTGCTAAAAGGAATGCGTTTTGGAAATTGGAGTGAAGAAATACTTTGAGGAATGTTATGTAGGATCATTAAAATGTAGTATATTATATAGTATACAAGTACCTATGACCATGACACTGTTAGATTTAATTTAGTCAGTAATGACATTTCAGCCTGTATGCCTCCCACAAAAAAAAAAAAAGGTTTAAGATATCCTACCAATTTTCCTAGCTTTTATGTGAGTTTTCTATGGACATAAGTGGCATTTACAACTCGCCTCGTCTTTCTTTGTAATTTGTGTGTATCCACATAGTGTGCTGTGGTGAAGGGACCTCAGTTCATTCACACAGGCAATCTAAGAGTTATCAGCTCCAAGGACGAGTAAATAAAAGCCACCCGGCCTGTCCGGGGACATTTTATCAAGCCCTCTTACCCCCCATCTGGTCACAAACAAATCAAGAGCCAACTCCTCTTTAGATCTGAAATATTTCAACTACTCACTTGTTAAAGAAAAGTAATCGAGTAAATCGCTTTTCAAACTGCTTTGTAAAAGAATAGGGCTTTCTTTAGAAAGGCGAAGCTTCAGTGTTCCTTTCATTTTGTCTTTTACTGATTTCTGAATCTCTTGCATCACAGCAGTGACCTTAAAACGCTGGGGAGGGTTCAGTCTAAAAACTGGAACAAAGGAGAATTAATGATGTCAGGTGGTACAAAAGACTTCATGCAGTTCCAGACTTTTCAGAACTACAGAAGTGTGTTTCAATTTAGTTTATTCCATGAAACGTTCTTCTAATCCAGGGAGTTAGGCAGAGGACAATGTAGCGTATGTTCCACTTCTTCCCCCTGAAAATACTCTACATAAAATTGGCAATGTCTTAAAATCACATGAAACCAAACTAGAATCTAGAGAACTTTCATTTTTCCGTCAGCGGTCCTCAGAACCACCTTGATATTCACCTCAGTGACTTTCAATGAAACCTTAGTTTTTAAGGCCCCGAGCGGAGCAGCTTTTTGGTTTCCCCCTCCTCCACCCTTCACCCTCTACCTCTGGTCAGGGTCGATCAATACTTCCCCTGTAGCTTATCACTAATGTGCAACTGGCTGTTTGTCCAAACTCTGCTCTGTCTACATAAAGACTTGGACAGGCCAGTGTCTAACCCATATGCACCACGTATCAGCTCATCAACCTCACGTCTGCGGACACACTACTGGACTTACACTGAAACTTACACAGACATAAGGAGAGGAGAGCCTGAGACCGACCACTGAGCACATGTGCATGACTCTGGGAAGACCTTTGAAACATAAGGTGAGTTGGTGGCCTGATGATACTCACAGTGTTTTTTAACTCATACATTTAGTTATAACCACAGTATTTCTGTTATATTCAACAATCTGAAAAAAAACCTTTGGGAACTTTTTTTAGAACTTTTTCTAAAATATGTAAACTGTTTTCAATGAATCAAGATTGTGCGAGATACTTTGAATCACCTTTATTTTTCAATTGCATTTTGGAAAACTTTAGCAAAGAATTGTTTTGGACAATCAATCAGTTTCTGTTTTAATTTATAAATGTGCCACATACAAAGTCTCTCTCACACACAGACACACACACAAGTTCACACAGCTGCACTCATCCCCACAATCAGTTAAAAAAGAGAGAGAGAGAGAGAAAAGAAAAAGCAGCGTGACAGGACTTTGGACACTCTGGATAAGCCTCAAGTATTTACCTGGCACATTTTTTCTCAGTCTCTTTCACTTAAGCTTGATTTATATATATATTATATATACACACACACACATAATTCCCTGTTTTCTTTCAGTTTTTCCAAGCTCCTTCTGTTTAATGATTCCAGCAGCCCAATTTCTCCATTTTCTTCAGGCGATCCCGGTCCACCAGTATGCATTTACAACCCCGACCATCTCCACATCTCGAGCAAACTTTGTCCTCCAGAGCTGTGGAGTGTGACAATGGTGTTTGTTCCCTGTCTGTCAAACGCCATTATCACACTAAATAGCTACAGTGTGGAAAGGACCTCAGCGCGTTCCTTCAACTTCCTGTTTTGCTTGATTGTCTGTCTTCATTTTGTCTTTCGTTTTGTGGCTCCTGTATAATCCTTCGTTTATTTATACTGTAAAGGACAGACATGTGTCCCCACGTGTCAGAGGTGGCGACAGCACCGGACATGTTACACCAGAGCAGCAGTGGCACAGATGGAAATAGACATATAGTGTGTTTAAATATGATTTTGTGCTTCTGAGTGCAACCCATTAATTTGCTGCTGGAGACCTTTACCTGTTAGAACAGATTTAAGGGGGAAAAAAAACATTGAGATAATATGTTTTCATGCTAAAGCCACAAGTGAAAGTTTCCTGCATAAAAACACAGGCCATTACCTTATTTGCTCAAACAGTGCTGTATTTTGTGACTGTATTTTTTCCTAATGCATGAATAAATTTTGTACTTGTCCTCTGCCTTAAAATTCCTTAGAGTTTCATACTGTCGCCATTCCTCAGAATATACACAAGATCCCACACCTGTGCACAAAAACAGCCGCTCATCTGTACATTATTTATGACCTGACCTAACTCCATGCAACAAAATCAGTTTAAAAAAGCGTTTTCAACACTTAAAATCTCAGCCTCAATCTAAGCTTCATGTGAGCAGTTTGGCTCAGGGATTTAAAAGGTAATGGAAAGAGGGGAACAGTGGAAAGACTGTATTTGAATAGATGGAATACTTCGGAGATCATATGTCAGTTCAGTGTTCGTTTACTCGGATATGCCTTTCACTTCACATACACTGATTGCCAAAAGCCTCAACCAGTGCCGTACATGCGTCCTGAAAAGATGCTAGGCATAAGAAATAAATGCAACCGGAGGAAGCAAACCCAGATAAATATAAATAAACACTTTTTCACATTTATGATTAAACACAACCGTTTTCAGGAGCTTTAGGTTCACACAGTGTCCTTGTGTTGTTTTCAGAATGTAAAAGACTCATCAGTGTGAGCTCCACTAAAGGAAGAAAAATGACACTACAGACACTGTGAACACCTGGCAAAGCCGACAGAAAAGCAGCCACTCATACAAACTACTTCAGAGACATTTCCACGAATCAGTCAATCAAGAGGTCCATTAATTTAATGGACTAATAGTTTGATCACACAACAGAAGTAGAAAAACAATAAACCCTTTTTAGAGACAAATTATTGCACTCCATCAGTCACGCAGTCTAAGACGTCCTAGTTCATCGTTGTGGATGAACACATAAAATAATCACAGATTTTTGTCAAACTTGCGAAATAAAGACCCAAACGCTTTGTGGATCTTTTGCGAAAATAATCTCAAGTGTTCATCTCAGAGCAAACAGCTGGTTGCCAGTGTCAAGCCAAGACTGATTTCTCTTTGAAATCCTGGTGAAAAGGGTCCAAGATTCTCCTCCTGTTAGGACTTGCCCTTCAGCGTTGGCCCAAATGTTTTCTTCTTGGGTGCAGCAGTAGGTTGGGGCTTGGGTTTCGGAGGAGCTGCTGGCTTTTTGGGTTTGGGTTGCATGGATTTGAGCCCCAGGATCTCACAGTACTTGTTGCACTGATGCAAGGCTTTGAACTGGTCAATGAAGGAGGTGGCGCAGTTTCCTTTAAATCCCTTATATCTGCAAATCAAAGCGATATCAATTATCACTAAGTCGATCACATTGCATGAATCAACTGGCACATATTTAGATAAACACAGGCTCACCCTTTCTTACAAGTGGCTATTCCGACATCTGTGAGCCTCATTCCCACTCCTGCAAATAAAACACAGATATTTAGTGCTTAACGTGAGAAAAAGGGGGTAAAACATGTGCCTCTGATTTCCTGACCTTGCATATCAGTAACCAGTAGGTTTCCCTCTGTGTTGTGGAAGACCCAGTGCTGGAAAGCACAGCATTTCTGTCCTGCCTCGGAGTCCCGTCTCTTCAAGTTGATCTCCTTACCGTCCTTAACCGAATATTTGACAAAATCACCGATCAGCTCTTCCTCCAGTGTGGCGTAGGGGATGTCGTTGGAAGGACGGTGGACCAGATAGATGGGAATGATACTGGTGGATGCATGGACATGGCAATGATCAACAAAAACAGGATACATTGTGTGTGGAGTTTACAGCTGTATGATAGTGTCACTCACTCTGGGACGTCCCCAAAGGCTTCAATGGCCTGCGCTGCGGTGGTGTAGGCTTTGATGTACTCTCTCGCTGTGTTCTGCACATGACACTCCTGATGAGGAAAAAGCAACTCACTCAGTTTCAGTAAAACAACATGACTATAGTCCGTCTACCAGGGGCCAGTATAGCTTTAAGGAATATAATAAATTCCTTTCTTTTTGTTATGTGGTTCAAAGATGAACTGTTTGACAAATTCAGAGAAATCCCGAGGTTTTTGGAAACATAAAAACAAATGGGAACAGATAATGTGTTTTTATTGTTTAAAATTGTATTTAATTTCCACCACATTGCAGAAAAGGTATGTCGTACCAACCGTACCAACCACCGACAACCACAATGTCCCTACCTCCACAGCCAAGTTGAAGTTCTTCTGAACAAGCTCGTCGTTCTTGGTCCCATAGCTGATGGCGTTGTGCACCTTCAGCACACAGGAGTGTCCCTGCACCAGCAGCGGGATCTGACCCGCCTGCAGCTTGGTCCGAAAGGCCCGTCGATGCATTCCCTCCCCAAAGTGGACCTTTTCAGTAACAATGCTGGCTACATGTTTCTCTCCGAAGTATTGCTCTGAAAGGAAGTCCTCTTTGAACAAGAGTCCGGAACAGTGGACATCCTCCTCTTCGCTGCACCCCTCTACAGGGGCCGCTGTGTGGAGACGCAAACAATGTATCATCTGTGGTCAGCCGTGTGAAACCATAAAGCACGCTACTAGATCAGCACTCACATGAAACTGTCTGTGGAGATAGAGGGATGACCACCTCGCTCAGAACTGAAATATGTTCATGGAAAAAAATCAATTAAAGGAATTTTCACTTTCTTTGTTTAATCGGTTTCATGGTTTGCTTTTTTATTTTCTTACTTTCGTATGTGAGAAGGTAGTCCAGTGTGATGGATCCATGTAAGCTGCTGAGCCGACACTGGTACTTGCCCAGGTCTTTGTGAGACGCATTGCTGATGGTCAGTGACACTCTGCTCTCATCCCCTGCGCTTTAAAGAAAGGACAGTTTCTTACAAGATGCACCTTACAAAATTAGGTAAATCTTTTTGGGGAAAGAAAATAGATAACTTTTCAGATGTATTTAAAACAAAATAAAATCCTCAGTGACTAAACATTTTCCTTAAATCTTCCTTTCGGCCATGAAAATTCACTTGCATACAGCTACCATTACATAGCTTGCTTTAGCTTTTAATGTCAAAGGTTTTTGACATTATGTAGAGTGCATGTTATGCCTTGTTCAGTAATGACTTGATGACTGATTTTTCCCATTATATATATTTCCTTACATAAAAAAACATTGTACTGATGTGTTGACAAAGGTTAAATGCGTTAATTGTAATAAACCGTGGCTGTAAATACTGAACCTGTTGGCTAGAGCACATTGCTTACCTGCTCTGCTTCTCATAACTCAGACATCTGCAAGTTACCGAACACTGACTAGCTCCTGCAGGCCCGTTTCAAATAAACCAAACCATCTATTTGATGACAGCTAGATTTAAATCCATGTATCAACCCACCAAAGCTCTGCATGACTGATGTTATGTTTTCTTCCCTGGTAATTGCACCATATTTAACCTGCGCTGGATATCATTCACCAAGCACCCTGAAGTAATAAATAGTGGCTTAAAC